GTCTGCCGAAAAAAAATTACCAAAAAGTAGTCAGCAAAAATCTACATCAATGACTAGAAGCTATGCTAATGTTCTTCTCTCCCCTGAATGGCGTGACCAATCAGAAAATTCTCTCGGTGAACAGAAGTCGTTGTTTTTCGCTTATAAAGGAGATGACTTTTTTTTTGAGCCATGGGACGAACATACGTTGTTGTTGGCGAGAAGTGAAAGTTGGATTTGTGACCCCATTTTGTCGTCTCTATGGTGTGTATTGGACTGTTATGTAGGACTATCGTGTGGACTGCGATTTGGCTACAAGTGTTGCGGCCGAGAAACAAAAAATCTATTGCTGTTGCTACGATCAGTTGACAGTTTTTTTTCTTTACCTCTACATATACTTTGATTCAAACTACTGTTTTGTGGGACAAAAACTGGAATATGTAAAGAAACAAGTGATAATTTTAAGATGAATGCAAAACACTTACATAATATCATGTCTGATAACCATACAAAACGTAGGCCGGCCATAAAGTTTCCAACAGTTAGCTAAGAAAGCCAGATCACTCTGAAAAGAGAAAAGTTTACAATAACAAGATTTCTGGATTAAAGAGTTATTTACATTCAGATAATCTTCACTTATAATTCTTAATTTAATGGCTGAAATAGATCTTGTCATTTCTACAACCATAAAATACTCGTGGAAATTCCACTATTGTATCATTAAATATTTGAGCTTAACAACTTTAACCAAATATTGCAATAAAAATTATAAATATAAATGTAGGTCATTATTTAAAGAAGTAAGAGGGTACAAATGAAAAGATTTAAAAAATACCAAATAATATTGTACATTGTGTTCCTAAAATCTGGACACATTGGCAAAAATGTATATTTTCAAGATATGAAATTTGCAGCAATATTTTATTGAATTGGAATTTTAACAAATAACATCTTCAATATGATTTCCATGATTTCTGATGCAAAGGTTGATGCGCTTTGCAAGATTCACATTAACTCAATGCAATAACTCCACATTGCCATCAATAGCACATTCACTCTTTATGCATTCAATCAAGCGTGTTGCTTCTGTCATTTTCATTAAGTACAACTTTACCTTTAGTATACCCCCCCCAAAAAAAAAGAAGTCAATTCTTTCTTTCCTTCGACAAAACCATGTTTAATCCATGGAGGTAAAAAAATATAGTTAATGAGATTTCCTACATGTCCAGACTTTAGGGACATCCTGTAGTGGCATGAAGAGGTTGGTTGTCAAGGAAACTGATGTAATGAATATGCATACACCTGTTTTCACCCTCACAGGAATATGATTGGCTGGTGTAGAGGTACAGGACGATACCCATTGGACTATACTATTGGTCTACGCCTATTGCCTACACCTATTGACTGCAACTACGACAACTACCAGTTCCATTACTGCTGCCTGCTAGATTGTTCTACTCGGTTACAGTAGCCTAAACCACTTAGCTACTTCGATCAAATATATCCCTTTCTGGGATATAACAGTAACCATTTTTATTTACAAACATATGTAAATGAATTCGAAAAGGAGTAAAAATAATCTTTAGTGGAGTAGTTGGTACACAGAGAAACATAATGTAGTTTAGAAAAGACTTTAAAATATTTGGTTCTCTGTAAAAAGCTGTGGTTGAGAAAAGGTTAGTGAAGATTCTCAGGCTGTCTTTGTTGTTGTTAGAGATGATTCATTTGAAGTTGTCGACATGCATCTTTCAGCATGAGCCGGGGAAAAGATAAAAGCTATGAAGCCATGTTGCCTTGGAGACCATTGCATCTCTCCGTGTTTGAATGGCTTGGTCTCTGCTTGAAAATCGAAATGTGGGTTTTTCTAAGAATTTTTTTCCTGAAAGTAGGCTCAAGAAAAAGAGGGTTTTAGTTTTTATCTGATTGGTCAAATATTTCACATGATGATGTTCATTTCTAACCAATAGACACTTTGATTTAAATGGTGTATGCTGTATTGTGGAATCTTTTTAATATTGTCGGTTATTGAGTAGTTTAGGTCTGTTTTAATATGGTGTATATGTGGATATGTAATTGTGTTGAAAATAGCATTTCTTTCCTATAATATAATGAAATAATAGCCAGCTACTCTAGTTTTCCAAGCATACCCGTTTACTAGGGGAGTTAGTCAATCTCTGTTACAGACACCTGTTCAGGCACATTTGTGCTTAACATCCAGAGGCCATGTGTAGTTTATACTTCAACTATGAAGACCTTAGTTACAGTTTCTGGGGGAGAGGCCACATAATCTGTTATGATCAGTAGTTTGATCAATGTCAGTATGCTCAAAGTTGAGCCTCATTGGGGATTAACACTGTGTTTCAAGTGTTTTTGTCTGTCTATATAGCCTTGGCCTTGAGCACAGTTATTTACTGTTTAGAAAGGCATTTGCCTTTTAGTTTTTTCTTCATTCTCAGTTCGATTTTTTTTTTTTTCTTGCATAAGTTTTTTCTTTTTTCTTTCCTTATTTTTCTTTTTCTTTCTTTCCTCTTTTCTTTTCTCATTCTTTCTCTTTAATTTTTTTTTTATATTTTCTTTTCTCTATCCTTCTATAAGGTCTTTTGACAGGTAATCTGTTAGTCACACCAACATGTTAGATTTTTTTTATCTCATCACTCTCCAGCCATGAGACTCAAATCTCACCATGGTCAATTTGTCAGGAAGATGACCTTGATGTTATCAGTCTGGGGTGGCAATCCCAGCAAATGGCACCCTTTAGAAAGTGCTTGAAAAACCATCCAACAGGTTGACTCAAGCCTTGTGAGTGAAATTGAGCAGATGAAACTGTTTGGAAGCTGTTAGTGGTTATGTTAGCACAAAGTCACAAGTCATCTTGACTGAAAGTTTGAGCATACTGACATTGATCAAACTACTGATCATAACAGATTATGTGGCCTCTCCCCCAGAAACTGTAACTAAGGTCTTCATAGTTGAAGTATAAACTACACATGGCCTCTGGATGTTTCCCTCTCTTGTTATCTTCACACTCTTGTATATGATTGTGTTTGTAATTTTATAATTATGTTCTGGGCTGATGATGCCCCTTATTTTTGTGTGTGTGTGGAAGGGGGGTATCCAGTGGTCTCAAGAAACCTTGGATCTGTACTGAAAGGGTCATGCCTCAGCTGCTGATGGTGGTGCAGCATCTGTTATGACTGTACAGGCCAACACAAGAGTGACAGTCTTGCTTGTGATGAATGCATGTGAAGACGCTCTTCCCCAATGTCGCCTTTTTTCTTTCCATCCCAGAGGCAAACGTTTGTTTCTCTTCCCACCTTAGCCTTTGGCGTAAATTGTGTCACCATCATGAGCGATTGCTGGTGATGTCTTCCCACCTCTTGATATCCATGTCTATTGTGTTCATGTGCCTTTTGCAGACATCCTTGAAGTGAAGATGAGGTAGCCCACTTGCTAGTTTCCCATACAGAAGGACCTGCAGGATTCTCCCATCCGGAATATGGTGTACATGTCCAAGTCTGCAGAGTTGGCGGTGTTGGAGAAGGGTATATAGGTTGGGTAAATAGGTGCAGGTGACAACTATGATATTGGTGACCCGGTCAGACCAATTGAAGCCCAGAATGCATCTCAGACAGTGAAGGTAAAATGCACCGAGGCATCTCTCTTGTCTGGATGCCCTTTTAACATCCTCACTTAGAAAAATAGATATATAAAAAAATTACATACTGACATGGCCAACACATCACCAGAATCCATGACAAATCCACAAGCAATTCAATTTTTATTTACATGTAGACTATTGATAAAATGTCATCCCGGAAATCCAGACAGAATTTAATTTTGAAATGGATTAAGCATTATCCTTATTGTTAATTCCACCCAAAGTTGTTTTCTGTTGCCATAGCAGGATATGATAACACAACTAAGAAATTCAAATAAATTCAAATTCAGGGATCAGTCACCTTCAGTGGCTGGATAATCTTTTTCATTTGGTTTGGTTTGTTTATTTTACCAGCACATCAACCTGCTTGGGTCATTTAATGTTGAAAAGTGGATTTCTATTCAATAATATCTTACGAAGTTTTAATTTATAAACTTTGTGAAATATAATTGGAAGCTAGTTGTCTCGTTCATCTGAAGGTGAAGTTGTTTGAATTAAATTTTGATGTATAATTTACTTTTCTTCAGGTAGGTCAAAATGGTTCCTTTACTAACACTTTCAAAAAGATCTTTAATGCTGATCTTATAAAGGTGTTTATGGAAAAGGTTGAATTCGGCACAGTCCGTCATAAAATGTTTTGCGGTGTATGTCTCCTGGTATGCTATGCATTTGGGTGGATCCTCATCTTTTAAGAGAAAAGAATGTGCGTAAGTGGTATGACCAATTTTGATTCTTGTTAAGACTACTTCTTCTCTTCGAGAAAGTCTGGTGTTATGGTGCCTTATCCCAAGTGTAGGTTTGATTCTTTGTATATTTCATTTTACAGCATATCAACCTCAATGGATTATTTAATACCAACAAGATTTTTACTGCTGGTAATATATTTTTCTTCAAAAATGTATTGCTGGTAATAATTAATTACAAAAATGATTTGCTGGTAATATTTTTTCCTTCAAAAATGTATTCCTGGTAGTAATTTTTCCTCAAAAAATTCATAGTTGGTATTAAAAATTATTTTTACACTTTCATGGTGCTTTGACCTGAGTTTGGGGGTTAACTATTGATATGTCCTGGAAAGGGATATATTTGATTGAAGTAGCTAAGTGGTTTTGGCTTCTATAACCAAGTAGTACACGGTAGCAGTAATTGGCTGGTACTCATCGTAGTCACAGGTAATAAGTGTAGACCAATAGAATAGCCAATGGCATAGTTCAATGGGTGTCGTCACAGACCTACACTCTGTCATACCTACACGTCTGTCTGTATTTATGACAGACACCAGCCAATCATATTCCAGTGAGGGGGAACACAGGTGTATGCATATTCCATTATATCAACTATTTACCCATAGTTGGAACCTTAACAGGTGCTACCACCCCAAGTCAGGGTGGACCTGGGAATATCAGCAATTAAAAGGTGGTTCCATGTTCCTCAAAACCTCCTGATCAGAGGCCTTGCTGTTGGATGTAATTTATTGTCTTGCCCAGGATGCAGGTGAACCTGGGAACCCCAGCAATTAAGAGGTGGTTCCACGCTCCTTAAAACCTCCTGACAGGAGGCCTTGCTGTTGGATGCAGTTTATCGTCTTACCCAGGGCGAAGGTGGATCTGGGAACACCAGCAATTAAGAGGTGGTTCCATACTCCTCAAAACCTCCTGATCAGATGCCTTGCTGCTGGATGTAATTTATTGTCTTGCCCAGGATGCTGTGTAGTTTATTGTCATACTTAGGACAGGGTTTGATTCTGTGCAATTATAAGCTTTTTGTACAGCAAATGAAGTCGCATGCAGAGGGATAAATGTTACATTGATAATCAAACTTACTTTACAATCATCAACAACAAGTGAAAGATCCTGAGCCAAGTAAAAGTTGCTGAGTTCAAACAACAGAGGATAACAAAGAACAGTCTGGCCACAAATACGATAAATCTGAAAAGTAAATACGTCATAAATTAATTACAAGTGGTTTTTGTCATTTTAACTTACAGGCATCATAAAATTGAATGACGTTTATATATTTTTACAAGTCACTTGACCAAGGTCAATTTGAAAAGAGAATGGGGTAGGACACTTGGCTTTTCAATTGATACATACTTGAATTTAAATAAATGCAAATTTTCAAGTTTACAAACAAAAAAAAAAAAAAAAAAAGGGGAAAGAGAAAGGAAAAACTAAAAATAAGGGTGGATGAAAAATAAGTTGGGGAATGAAAAATAAGGCCAAAAATAGGGGGTAGGAAAAAGATTTCAAGTCAGTTATGTGCCATGTGTGATACATGCTTAGGTGATCATGTGTCTTTCGATACATTACTGATGAGGCAGATTTTTTCCTTGCCATTTCTTTCTGCGGTAGATCAGTTGCCATCCAAGGCTATAGAACCTTGTCTGTCCTGCTATTTAACCATAGCTGGGGGTAGAAGAAGAGGATTAATACCTTTCCCAAGGGTATTAGCACATAAGTGATTGTAATGGATTTGACTGGAATTTGAACTTGGCTCCCCAATTCAGTTATGTGTCATGCGTGATACACGCTTAGGCGATCATGTATCTTTCAATACATGACTGACGAGCCAGATTTTTCCTGCAGTAGGTGGCCAATTCTTTTTGTCGTAGACCAGTTGCCATCCATGGCTATAGAACCCGGTCTGTTTTGCTATTTACCCATAGCTGGGGTTAGAAGAGGATTCATACCTTTCCCAAGGGTATTAGCAAGTAAGTGAAAGTAATGGATTCGGCTAGAATTTGAACTTTGCTCTCCAATTCCGCAATTGAAGCCGCTATAAAAATTTAAAAGATGTGCCAAATAAGGTAATTATTTAAAAGATGTGCCAAATAAGGTAATTATTTGTCTCATAAATGGATACAATCTAGTTTTAAGCATAAAAAAAATAAAAATTCAGTATTAATTATAGGTCTTCTAACACAATATGTCCACCATCTCATTTTTGAAATGGTGGCTGTCTTTTATGTGCTGTGTCCCTTCAGGACGTGGGTGATCATGGTTCTCCACAATTTCCTGTCCTATCTAGCTATTAGTTGTGGGGAAAATTGTGAAAATGGCCTACCTCGGAAACGCGTTCGAATCTGCGCAGTATGTAAACACTGGTCCTTCCAACTGTAAAAAAGAAAACCAAAATGGCGGCGCCCGCGTTTTATGCCGAGTGGTCTCGGTCAGTTAACGTGAAATCTCGTTGCCTCGTGATTCGCATGCAAATCGTGGTCGGTCCGCAGCTGTATAAAGCAGGCTCGTTTCTGCTGTTTCAAACAGAAGGCTTTCGGCTTGTGAGAAGGTTGGACGTGCGACACCGGTTTTCTTTGTGCCTACCTGCTATCACCCGTTGAATTGTTGAGTTACACACCACATTAGTGAACTTTGTTTTTCTGATATCTCTCCTAATATTTATTCTGCTAACCATTTACACAAGCCTGTTTGATAGTTTATTCACTGCATTCCTCTGTCCCACTTGCCTTCAGTATGTCCTATGAGTGTCAAATTCTCCAAGCCCGCTTTCCACATTATGTGCCCTTGGAATTTCAACTGTCTCTTTCTGATGCTAAGTGCCCTTTTTGTTTCCATGCTGACCATTAATGGGTTAATAAAGTTAATAATACAATTTTATTTTTATTTTTTTTCTAGATGGGTGACTGCTTGGGAATATTAAGTGCTGTAAGATTGGATGTGCCAGTGGTAAGGCTTATGGCCATATTATGTTGAAACACCAGTTCTTGTACAATCACTGAAGTTAAGCAACATTGAGCCTGGTCATTATCTAGATGGGTGACTGCTTGGGAATATTAAGTGCTGTAAGATTGGATGTGCCAGTGGTAAGGCTTATGGCCATATTATGTTGAAACACCAGTTCTTGTACAATCACTGAAGTTAAGTCATTATCTAGACATTGAGCCTGGGAATCAAGATTATCTAGATGGCCATATTATGTTGAAACACCAGTTCTTGTACAATCACTGAAGGAAACACCAGCCTCCATGGGTGACTGCGTGGGAATACCAGTTCCATGCTGTAAGTATGGATGTATGGGTGGTGTGATGAATAATGTCTTGGAATTGAAAATTGAAGAGCTGAGTTCCAATTCCAGTTGGGTTCGTTATATTCACTTATGTGCAATTTGTATGTTATTCACCCTTGGTAGGAAAGGTATGAATCCACCAATTCTCCCCCTAGATATGGGTTAATTAGTAGGATTTGTATCAGTAAATGATTATTACTGCCGAAACATTCTTACAATCGAAAAATATTTTTTGGCTTTAAATAACCTACAAAAGGTTGATAAACTATAAAAAAAAAAAATCAATCAATACTGAAGTCAGTTTTCAATTTTTGTTTTTGAAGCTTTTCATTGCTTCAGGTAATTATTCTTAACACAAATAATTTGCCCACATTTAGGTTTCAATTCTTTCAAATAATTTATAAGATTACAGTTTCAAGTACTTCCAGCAATGATATAGTTTTAACATTTTCTCTAGAAGTAATCAACAGGATACAACTGGAAGTCCCAGAAAATGCTGACCAAGGCCTATTTGGCCACTTTCCCACTTTTCATTTTCAGCGGCTGTAGCCTTCAAGCCTAGCTTGAAGGGCTACTCAGCTCTTGCTGCACAAGACGAGGCCTGTCCTGGCAGCTTGACTTCAGATTTCTTGTTCTTCCTGTGGGAACTGCTAGAGAAATTTTTCTCTACAAAACATCTACTCATGAACTTTGTTAACTGGGAAGCCCCACCTTTTTTCACTGCAAAATTCCACTAGTTTGCACTCTCTTTCAACCAGAAATAACAGCTGTTGAACAGTTATTTTGAGCTTTGTGTTTTGTTCATTCCACTCTCACTGCTGCACATAAACACACACTCAACTGGGAAAAAATCCTTACAAAAAAGATCCAAATATTCTTTCCTTTAAAATGTTATGTATTTATTTATAAATAATTTTTTCTAAGGCTCAGGAAAATGTGTAAAATATGACAATGAAAAGATTGGAAACTTTTGTTTTTATGTTAATCTATACTTAAATGAGTGATACCTTTGATGTACTAAGAACTCCAAATGGCCTTTGAGGTCGACCAGAAATGCCTAATTTCTTATTTGAACCAAGATATCCATAGGCTTTGGTTAGCTCTTTGGGAGACCAAATTTGAATTGGTTCAATTTGTCGAGGAGTTTGGGATTCAATTCCATAAGTTCCAAGGAGTTGTTGTAGCTCAGCACTCTCAGAAATGAGTACCATTTGGATAACCAAATCATCAGGAGTTCCCTGAAAATGGGATGGAAAAAAAAAAGAAAAATTAAATTAATTTCTTTGTAACTATATGTGCAATAAAAAGGAAGACAATCAAAAAGTTTTTTGAACAAATCTGCCTCCCGACCGAAATGATTTAAATAAAACATAAAAAAAAGTAGTAGTATTTTTTAAATTAAATTTTGAGCAAATACAGAACAACAGATATCGAGAGAATTTGACAAATGCTATTAATTAGATTTCAAGCCTAAAACACTAAAGTAATCTGATACAACTTTCCTTTTTTTTTCTTTTTTTTTTTAATCAATTTCACCCCATGCAAGGTAGTAAAGCCACAAGGGATTAATGGGTGTGGAAGAATTAGGAACAGAAACATTACTAATGAGCAGAAAGAGAAAAGAGTAACCTTGAGGACAGTAGATAACTATTGACATTTAAATTTTTGAAGTTGACTAGAAATCAAGAAGCCAGAAGAGAGTTCCACAAGCAAGAAGTGTGAGAGAAGAAACTGTTAACATAGGACTTACAGTTAAATTTAGTAATTTCAACTCTAAACTGATAAGATCTTCTTGCCTATCTAGCATTGCTCTTAAATTTGTAAAGGTATGAAAGAGGAAAGCGTGTAGCAATCACCATCACCATCACACACACACATGTACATATATACATATTGGCTAATCTCCTTAAAACTAGCTTGCTGATTGGTCAATTCCGACCAGTCAAATCGCATGCACGCAAGGAATAATTTTCCCGTGCACAAGCTTTGGAGCCTGTCACGTGAGACACAACCTTATATAAACAAAACACGAACAAGCCTCTCTTGTGTTCTCTTCATTCATCTTTTTCCTTGCTGCCAAGATTTAATCTTCAAGAGCTCCCGTCTTAACCGTGCAGTCAGATGTTAAAGATCATTGCCAACAACAATTACCGACTTTCTCTCAAGTCGTCAGTAAAGTCCAGATATTACGCCTGTCTACATAAATCCATGACTTTGCTCACAACGCACACATAGACACAGATTTTTGTATCACATTACACTATTCTCCTTCTCTGTGTCTAAGCCAAGTTTACAAACCAAGATAAATTCTTTCAAATGTTTAATCTTAATCAGAATACAGTTGGAGGGAAGCTACTTTTTCTCCCTTAATTTCAACACACCATTGCATGATTGTTTTGTATGTTATTGTTTCAATATATATTTTATTGTTGATGCACAATTGGAGTCTCGTTGTTTTTCCTTGAATCATTAAATGTATAATAGTTGAATGCTCTTAGAACATGCAATTACATTTGATAACCCCAACACATAAACCAAAGCAGCATCCAACAAGCTTATCAGAACAGTTACAATGAAAATATTTATAGAAAAGGCACATTTAAGCTACATTACAATGGGAAAGTGACTGAAGCTGAGATGCCAAGGCATAGCCAATAACATTACACATTCTTTGTACTTTATCTAGAATCTCTAAATAAATAGCGGAAAACACCAGACCAAATGTGACAGAAATATTCAATAATCATATGAATGGTAAACTTATAAAGGTGTAAGATAGATTTTGGCAAGAAAAAAAATCTCTTTTTTTCATATTATATATGCTTTCTTTTTCTCATTAAAACCAAATAGCATCCCAGATTAATCTATTTCTTCCATCTTTCTTTGCAATCATAGTAGAATGGTCTATTATATATCTGAGGCAATTGTAGAGCATAACTAACTCACTAAGGATGAAGAAACAGAATTATTATGTTTATGAGATAACAAATAACTTAGAGAACATTTGTTTTTTTTTTTTACTACAAAAATAAAGATTGCTTGTTGCCTAATTTTTCTTTGTACAAGGTGTTGATAACACACTGAAAACATTAAGCATCAGCAGCAGCTGTTGTCCATTGCAGGGAAAGAAAGAAAGCTCAATGGTTAAAAGAGTGAAAAATCATTTAAAAGTGAAGTCTACCTGAAATGCACTGTATCGGGAACTAAAACGAGGTCTTTCTGGAGCAGGTAAATAACGGCGGATAGGATCAAGTTCATGAATATTTAATAAGTCCTCCCCTGAAAGATATTAAAGAAGTTCTCATTAGATTGATATTGTCAAAAACAAACAAAGCTTATCAATAAAAAAGAAAAAAAAAAAGAAGAAAAAAAAAAAGGAAGAAAAAGATGATAAACTAAATTGCATTTACAATGACCAAGAACTTATTTTAATTATGAAATGAATTAATAAGAAATCATTTTTCTTCAACCAGTAATCAGTGTATGATGAAAAAAACAAAAAAAAATAAATGTCATCATAGAAGAAATAGATGACTGTTTCTTTAAGTTAAATGGCTGATCATGGTTGGAATTTGCAAATAAGAAATCATTTTTATTTATCAGATTCTAACAGAAGAAACACTTATGATAACAGAAGAGGAGAATTAATATGATATTGATGGTGGTGATTGAAAGTGGAAAGTTATTATTATTGATGGTTATGATGATGGAAGAAGATTATTATTGATGGTGATAATAATGATGAGCATTGTAGAAGGGAATAATTATTGGTGGTGATGATTATAATGGAAGGAGATAATTATTATGAATGATGATGACGATGATGATGGTGTTGGTGAAAGGGGATAAGCATTATTAATGTTGATTATTATCATTATTAATGACTAAGGTGGTGAAAAGAGATATTTATAATTAATGATGATGGAATGGGATAATTATTTTTAATGGTGATGATGATAATCATGGTAGAAAGGGATAATGATTATCAATGGTGATGATGATGGTGGAAGGGTTGATGATTATTATTAATGGTGATAATGGTGGAAGGATTGATATTTATTATTAATTATGATGATGATAGAATGCGATAATTTTAATCATGATGTTGATGATGTTGAAAGGGGCTTATTATGTGTCAGTAATTATTGAGAAAGAAACAGGTTTGAATATTTAGTCCTGTTCAATTACCAATGCAAGTGCCAATTTGCAGAAGTTTACCACATTATATAAAAGTGTTTGTTAGTCATGAATACTATGCCAGAATTATGCATAAAGCTATGATCATTTATAGAATCTTTGACAATAGAATGCTGTGTGACAATTGAAATCCTCAGCCAGTTTAGACTGATAATTGAACATGACAAAACAATATAATATTTAATAAAGAATACAAAAGAAACTGTTTACTATATATATATATATATATATATATATATATATATATATATATATATATATATATATATATACCATTGTTAACTGCATGAAGAGATGTTTTTAGATGTCAAAACAAATATGCACTTTTGTCATGGTAATGTGCATGTTCCACTGTAACTAATATATTAGTTAAATTCTCAGATCAATTGATTTTTTAATGTAACTATAACAACAAAACATTTCGATTTCATTTTGCCTTGAAAAAGTCAGAAGACGAAACATGTCTGTAAAACCTAAGATTTTTTCCAATTGTCAATTTATACCATATATATATATATATATATATATATATATATATATATATATATCAGCAATAGTACAAATGAACTTACAGAGCATTTCGATTAGAAAAATACTTTGTCCCCACAGAAACACTCCTTCAGTAGAACCCTCAGGACTGGGAGATCTTTCTGTACTTCCAGGATTCTTTTGTTCTTGTTGTATATTCTCCTTAGGAACATAATAATATTTAGGAATTAAAGGCCCTGTTAAAATAGAATAAAAAATAATTTTTAAAAGATGATAATTAATACATCGATGACTCATATATAGTTGAAAGGACATGCTTATCATTTCAGGAGGGAAGGGTGGGTGATTCAGGATAACATATTAGTCTCTGGGATGAGTAATACACACATACACACACGCACAATTATTGGTGATATATACTGATTTACTTGAACTAGTGTACTCAATTACTATAGTTATCACAACATTTAGTTAGTTGTACTGTCTTAACTTCTTCAGGCGTACTTGATAAATTTATGGAAATATTTAACTAAAATCATTATTAAATCTATGTAGCTTGAAATGATCAAAACTTGATTTTAACAAACAAGATAAGGATACTAGTCAGAATGAATCAGTGTATAAAAATGATAATTCCTCATCTCAGAAATGGCCGAAATGTTGTGACTATAACAACCAAAATGAGGATACTAGTCAGAATGAATCAGTGTATAAAAATGATCATTCCTCATCTCAGAAATGGCCGAAATGTTGTGACTATAACAACCAAGATGATGCCTTCCAGATATGAGGAATTGGTTACAAAGTCTGGATATGATAAGTTATATTTTGATTAAAAGATCTGAAATCAGGTTTAACATTTATTTTCAATGTTTTATAGTAAACAAAATAAGCTAATGGTTGAATGAAATATAACACAATTGATTTTAAGGGAAAAGAAATAAATTATGTAAAGTTAATGTAACGTCATTAAATTAAGTATGCCATGTATGCAAAACAAATAATGCAACAAGGATTTTTTTTTTTTTTTTTAAAATCGCTGTTGCAGGATGATTCATTCTTTTCTAATGTCATTCTCAACGTTTTCCCCCCATTTCGTTTTGCTTTTGTTCTTGAAGTTTTTAAAATGAAACACACTTTTTAACTCAGTGTGTTTTATTGCAATCATCATAGCTGAATGCTTGCTTTCTTTCCATAAAACTGACAACCTTTTAAATAGATTTTCAATTACAGTCCAGGTTTCATCAGTCATGCATCTCATTGCTATTTTGTTGCAGATGTGTCTTGTTGTCATCTTCGGGTTCTAGGGAGGATTCATCGTTTAACTCCCCATCGTTATTACCTGTATTAACCCATTCTACCAACTCATCAGAATTAATGTTACACAACTGATTCTCGCTGTTAGCAATTTTTAAAGTTTCCTTCAGAATGTGTACCTCTTCATTTTTCTTATATAAATCAACACTTACAATCTCATTCTTTTCTGTTGATGCATTTACATCAATCCCATTTTGTTATTTTGGAAACAATTTTTTCCTTGTACTTACAAGTGTTTCTGATTTCATAGACTCCCATACATCATGGAGCAAAAAAAGAAAAAGAAAAAAAAAGGCATCTTTAATGTTAAAACTCTTTTGAAATTCTTTTTGCATCATGAAATAACTCTTGTAATAACACTTCAAATCTGCTATTACTGCCTGGTCCATTGGTTGAATAAGTGGTGTGACATTTGGTGGAAAAAAAAAAAGCATAAATATTTCCGCAGTCTGACACAAGTTGAGATTCATGTGGGTGAGCCTTACAGTTATCAAGGACCAGCAAACATTTCGTTTCCATTTGGTTTACATGCTGTTTTAAAATATGAACAAACTACAGAAATAAATTGTTAAAAAAACCCCCAAAAAAAAAACCAAAAAAAAAAAAAAAAAAAAAAAAAAACCACTCCTTAAACGACATGAGAGAGGCAGAAAATGTCGTAGCTGCATTACAATCTGTTGATTTGATTTCTCTGGCTATAGATAATTGCCTAATGCCATGACAAACTTTAAAATGATTTAGCCAGCTTCAGCTAAATTTAGATTCAATTTATCATTTAGTGATTTGGCCTTTGCTATGAGCATCAGTCCTGAAATCAACATCCCTTCTGAACGCTTCTCAGAAAAATATTTGTACAGTTTTGCATCTACATTAAGAGATTTAGGTTGATGAAAAGTTTTTTTTTTATTTCCTTGTTCATTGTGACAGTGTGAATGCTGGTGAATAGTTTCTTTAGAAGGTTTTATATCATACAATGTTGACTTTCCTATGTTGAACTCAGCCATTAGTTACAATGAACTTTCACCAGCGTCTAGTCTATTTAAAATTTCCACTTTTTGCGATAACTCCAAAGTTGTTTTTTTCCTCTTATTCCCATCATCTTTTGTACCAATACAAGCCATTAGGGTGAAATAAGCAATTATCCAGAGAAAATTTCTTGAAAAACAGAAATTTCAAATCAGTTACATATCACCCAAATAGTTCAAATATACACATCAAAATCATTTCTGGATATTAGGGATTCTGGATATGAGGCACTCCAGACATGAAGCACTCTGGATATGAGGGATTCCAGATATGAGGGATTCTACTGTAACTGAAAAATTCTTAACTGATTCGAGCAATGAAAGATGATGGAGAAGAGACGTTATTACATATAGAGATCAACTGCACAATTAATCCATTATTTGGATGACAAAAAAAAAAAAAAAAATGAAAAAAAAAATCTCTTAATCTCACATGATCTTAATGACATTTTAAGACTGTTTAAGTAATTAGAAAGCATTTCATTTCATAACTTGTTATTTTAATTGAATTGTATGTGTAATTATTACATACAATTTTAAAATATAAAATATTAAATTGTTATTGTTAATTGCATATATATGAGGGGGTACTGAAAACACCAGTATATTTGGGGGGAAGCCTTTTTTTTGGTTAAGCTGGGACCTTTTCAGCACCCAAGCTGATGAATAAATTTGAAGAAAGGTAATCAACAAAGAATGAAAAGAATAAAACTGTGGGTGGTTCTGAAATGGTCTCAGCCTGATGCATTTTTCAAAATCTGACCAAATGATCAGGTTAGAATTATATTTGGAAGGAGGGCTTTTTAGTCAGGTAGAGAACTTTTCAACGCTCTCATTTTACATCATTAAGTCTAATATAAATAAAAAGCTTACCATATTCAGAATCTTTCAAAAGTGGAGTAAGCAACTTATAAAATGTTTCAACATCTTCTTTGCTCCCACTGAATTCACCTAGATAAATAAATAGATAAATTAGTAAAAAAAAAAAACAAAACAATATTTTCATTCATAGCAAATACACGCATATAAAATGGCTTTATATAAAAGTTTACCTTAAATTTGAAATTCATATCACTTTGTAATGCACTTGAACAAATCATTTGTGATTTTTCTATGGGTGTTTTAGCACCAAGTCAGACTATCTAGACAAGTTTAATCAAGTCCCAATAGTGGTACCACACCCAAAATTCACTTTGGCTGATCCTTATAATTTTTTGCTGACATTTGTGGTGGAATGGGACCAAGAGGACAGGTGAGATCATGGCTTCAGCTAAGCCTCGCCATCTGCAACTTAGTCAAAGTACATGTGTGTGTGTGTGTGTGTGTGTGTGTGTGTGTGATTCTACCTCTTTTAAAATTATCACTAATTTGTATGTATCTGTCTATATTTCTGAGATGAGGTATTATGTACACTATTTACACGATTGTCCTCATCTTTGTCGCCATATTTATTACAACGTTTCGGCCATTGTTTGCTCTGGCCTTCTTCAGGCGGTTGCAATGTTGACCCTTTATTTCACTCACTGGGGTAAACTGTTCTAGTTCCATGTGCCATGTCTAATGGATGTCACTTATCAGTTATCTCCTGCTTAATTACTTCCCCAAGTTCCCCACCGCCTTAACCAGGTATTGAACTCACACTCTTTGGGTCCTGTCACGGGATCTAACTAACATCTTTATTCACTGTGCCATGTGTCCTTGTGCATCAATTTCTGGGTATTATAAATTTAATGTCTTCAGCAACCTTTTTTACCAGTGCTCATATTGCAATTTTTGTTGTTATTATCGCTTTTCTCTGTGAGTGAAATAAAGGTGGCACAAGATTTGAAAACTAGAGCATTTGGGGAATAAATCCCAATAAATTTCATTAACTGTCTCTCAAAGCTACTAATTCTAAATATCTTAATATTTTTTTTCTCAAAAATCCTGATTCCTGGTAATTTTGCGCTTGTGACCTTCTAATATTGACTCATTCTTCTAAAAGGTAATCAAGTCCCTAGGTAACAAAACATTGGAAAAACATTACATAATATTTGGGAAATTCATTCTCTATTATTATCATTAAGAACGTAGCATATGTCTTGATGTCTTGGCCCAGAAAAAGAATCCACTGTAGTTAAGATTAACGCAATGCATGGGAATTTGTCGCTAGTCTAAGAATTATAGTATTTTCTTCTTAAAAATAGTTTGATTAATTCACATATATAGATAAAATAAAAGAGTTTGGTCAATAATATCAAGGAAAAGGGGTGAAGTATTTACCGATAGTCTTTTCTTTTTGAGGATTCTTTCAGTAGAAGCTTTGTTCTTGAATCAAAAGGACTGGAGTTTACCTCAATAGTCGTGGCTGTGGGTTCAGGAGGCAACTGGCTAGTTAGTACAAATTCCTGTTTATATATGTTTTTTGGACCCTCTAGAACCCAGTAGAATTTTCTAGAGACTTCTAGAAAGTTCCATTCTATTATTACAAAATCTAAAGGGTTTGGTGAATGGGAGCTTTTCATATGGTAAAAAGGGCATCTAGTAGCTAGAGTTTTAAGTCATCGTTTTAAGTCATCATTTTAAGTTGGATTTTGTATTTTATAGTATAAGTGTAAAGAAGTAGGACAAAATGAGACCTTGTAACTATATATATATATATATATATATATATATATATTATATGTATACACACTCGTGTGATGTGCAATCTTGCATCTAAAAAAAAAAAAAAAAAAAAATAATACAAATGTATCTTGTTTATGATGCGAGTTCCTTTTTCGAGAGACCAAATTACAATAGACTAACCTCTTTTCCTTTATCTCTTTATTCCATCTTCTAGTTAAATAAGTTAAAAAAGCAAAAGCGGATGATAAAAGTATTGTTGGTAATGCTATACTTGTTATGTAAACAACTGAACAAGAACAACAGCTAGACATCTTATAAATCTAAACAATGGAAAAAATGCATATTTGCTATATTTGTATTTTATAATACGATTACAAATATGTGAATATTACATGCATTATTATTGGATACATTTGAGTAAAACATCAGTTTTATCAAAATCATGTTTACTTAAAATACAGCTGTACAATTTAACTACAGTAAATGGATGTATGGTTTGGTCAACAGTGTAGTCAGGGCCAGCAATACAAGCACTAATTTGATAACTTGTGTATAATGTGACCCCCTTAAAATTAGGTCTTCAAAATAGGTGAATATATATATATATATATATATATATATATATATATATATGTGTGTGTGTATGTGTGTTATATATATTTATGTATTTTATATTACTTGTCAGCTGTCAATATACCTCATAACACCCTCGAGAGCTTAACTTTGGAGCAGGTAGAATGGAGATCAACGTGTTCTAGTGGACTCAGCAGTTTTCAATCTGCTCGTCTGAATCGTCTTCAAGAAGTGAGAGCAAGATCTAAAAGGTCAGCCCATCTAACAGTGATTTCATACCACAATCCTCACTCTTGCTCCATATGCAGCCTCCTTTGTAAATCACTAGCGGGTCTTAAGTGCCACTTAAGATTATTGCACAAAATTTCATAACTGAATCAATTGGTTAAGTTGTCAGATCCTCATATGTCAAAACCAACGGGAGAGTCCATTATTATTATTATCATATATATATATATATATATATATATATATATATAGTTCACATAAATACACGTGGAGAATTTTATTAATATATAGTTGGTTAATACCAATTCCACTGTAAAAATATGAACTTGCATAGTAAAATCTGTCAGTGTGCATCTGTTAAATATAAAATGGTTGAACATTATCATAGAGTGTCATTGAAGAAGAATTAAACTTTATACTTACTGTCAATCATCAAGTAAGCAAAGAACATTGGCCATTCACATTCAATTCCATCAAAGTTCTGGAATAGAAGACATATATATATACATATATATATATTTTCAAACTTTTTTGGTCTTGATTATGAAATCTGATTTCCTTCATATTTTCACAGTCCAGCAGTAGTCATTAATCTTGTGTATCATGTTTTTCTCCACCCCTTACTGCTCAGGCACCTCTATAGTCTCCATGCTTTAGCAATATTAATTAGGCAGTCATTTATATATCACTCAGTCAGTCAAGTGACATACGCAATACACACTTGGGTATTCATGGCTTTTAATTCATGACTGACAAGGCGGAAGATTTTCCCATAGTAGGTTGCCATTTCTTTCTGTCGTAGAATTATTGTCAACCAAGGCTATAGGACATTATCTGACCTGCTATTCAACCCATAGCTGTGTATAGAAGAGATGGATTCATACCTTGCCCAAAGGTATTTGTGTTTAAGTAAATATAATGAACTCAATTGAAATTCAAGCTTGGCTCTCCAATTTTCCCATCCTGAGCCGCTATCCATTACACCCCACTGTATATCACTATAGCTTTTGTTTTTTTAATAAATTTGCTTCGAGCAAGGTAATAGCATGACTAAGATGCAAGGGGCTACTGGAAGTGAAAGAGTTGGAAAGACTTTAGAAGGGCCTGGAAACGCAATATTAGTATAAATTTCAGAGTTTAAGTAAAGACTATAGAAGTATAGAGTTGAAATAGACTTTAGAAGGAATCAGAACCCCAATACTAAACAGGAAACAAGGACTAAACATTTACTGTTTGTAAAATGAAATAGATTTTAATTATTTGAACAAAAACAATCTTGTGAACTCTGAAATTAAAAGATTAAAATTTTGAAAAAATTCTTTTGTTTAATTTTTTGAAGGAAGTTTTTTTTCCAGCAAGACTGTGTCGCCTCCAAAAGTATTTCTAAAGAAAAGCAGTGGAAGCATCAAAGCAGTTTATAATCCAGAATCAAAGGGGATGCCTGAAGTTGATTAAATTGACTGACATTTAACAACAAAAATGTGCAGAAGATTTTGTGCAGAAACACCAGAAGGTCTTTGTAATATTTATAGATGTACAAGGAGTGACTTGTTTTCATTTGAAAATATTTGTTTTTGAAGTATTGTGGTTACTTTGGAGATGTGTTGCAGCACAAATCTACTGATTATTTCGACCCTCAAAAGGGCAGAAAAATGACTAAAGCAGACAATACCCCTGAATTCTTCACTGACTCTCTCCTGGTCCTTTATAAACAATTTTGGAAGGCTCTAGACAGTTTGGCATGAAGCTTAGTATGGCTAAAATCCAAAGTCTCCTTCTTTTTATTAACCAAAATTATTTTATTTGTTTTCCAGCATTTCTTTTCTTTTTATTCTGGCACAAATGTTTCTGGATTAAGATTTAGATTAATAAATATTTCTGGATTAAGACTGAAATTAAGAAATGTTTCTGAATTAAGATTTAGAAGCAACAGGAAATAAAACTGGTTCAGATGAATTTAAAAAAAATTATAAACATTGACGGAATCATGACATTATTTTGATATACTAATGATGTAAATAAAAGAATGTACGACTTTTCTCACTATCCAGCCTCAACAGAATTCAGAAGTGTATACAAGGCTTTGTAGGTAATGAATTCTTTTCTATCCTTCCCTACCTTTCTGACACATGAAATATTGGTAGCCTTTCACTAGTATCATTTCATGGCAGATGTTTAGGCAAACTACATGTTTGATTCCACCAGTTCAAACCTTCACAGCAAGGACCCACCATGCCACATACATTGAGTTGACTCATTCCAATTCCCTTTCTATTCCATTGATAAGTTCAACTCAACTTCTTCCTAGAATTGTTTCAATGTGGAATGAATTCGCAAGAGGATGCCTTCCTGGACTTAAAGGTGGTATGTTGGGTGTATTTTAGAGGGTAATGTGTGTCCACATGTAAACAGTTAAGAAGCATAGAAAAACTTGGCTTTCTACTATGTAGCTGTAGTGAAATAAAGTTCTCAATGTCTTGTGGGTTTTCTTTTTGGTCCAGGAGTTAGGGTAAGTAAGTATAAGCATCACTATAATGGTCAGGCTCAAGTCAGTCTTGTGCAGATTTGGAATGACCAAAGGAAAGTTTATACTTATTTCACTGTTGCAAGTTTAAGCAGGGTTATAATAGTATGTCTGTTCTCTTTTTTTTTGTCCAGAAGGTAGGATAAGTAAGGACAAGCATCATTATAATGGTCAGGCTCAAGTCAGCCTTGTGCAGATTTGGAATGACCAAAGGAAAGTTTATACTTATTTCACTGTTGCAAGTTTAAGCAGGGTTATGTGGCACCTTGCATTATTAGAAATATTCATAGAAATATGATTTAATTTTTTTTCTTACTCAGTTTATTAAACAGGTTGTTAATTTTTTTTTAAAAACGGAAAATAACTGAGTTGAAAATAATTCACTAAGAGTGTACTAGACGATCCTAAGGAAAGAAGAAGGAAAGAAAGGAAAAAGGAAGGAAGGGAAGAAAAAGAAAGAAAGAGAAATGTATGACGATGACCCAATTGAGGGTGGAGATAGGAGTCAGAAAGAGAATTAGGTCAGCGTCTTGGCCGATTTTCGAAAGTCATTTTGATAAAGAATGTCGGTCAAAGCACCTAGCCTACTTTTGCATGGAAAGACACCTTATCAATTTGGATAAAGAGAAATTTTGGGAACAATGAAACAATTTTTTAATCAGAAAAAAAGTGTCTTTGGGTTGGGGGGAGTGACCGGTGGAACGATATACAGACCTGTTAAGAATTGGACACCCACGTTAATAAAGTAGAGACATTTCAATGTAGATAATTAAGATTTTTGACTATCAGGTAAAACAAAGAGGTAAAAGAGAGGGACAATTGCTTTTGGCTCACAGAGGGCGCCAAGAAGGCGGAAAAGATCCTTTCTAAAGTCAAGACTAATTAGCAGCGGGCTGTTTAACAAAGTCCAGGTGAGAAAAGCCAAAGATTGTCATTTTGCGTACGTGCAAAAAAGGGGCAAAATTGGATTTTGTTTTTTTTAAACAAGAACGATGTAACCACGCCCGCAAACAGAGGGGAGAGGATGTTCGATCAATAACAATTGGTCGAATACGATCACGTGACCTCTTGGAAGAAAAGGGAAAGAAATGTTTGATCAATAACAATTGGTCGAATACGATCACGTGACCTGCGGAAGAAAAGGGAAAGAAATGCTCGATCAGGAACGATTGGTTGAAAAGCGTCACCTGACATACGAGAGACTAAGAGAGATGGATGTCGCCGCCCCACCAAAGGTACTGCGAGGAAGTAGGGCGAAAACAATAGCGATAATGGAGAAGACAGAATTAATGCAGTTTTTGAATTATCGAGAAAACCCTGACGACAGACCCACCCCAGTTTGTTGCAAGGCCAATAAAAGCAGGGCCCCAATCGACAAAAAAATGAGTTCATCCCAGACGGCAGCGAGAAAAGAACCCTCAGACAAGAAGAACTTCCAGCCCAAGTAGATGAAGAAGAAGATTGCCTGAAAGCCTGAGAAGAATTGGAGCTGCAGACAAGCCGAAGTCGATGAGAAGTTAAAGTTCATCCCCGGACGGCAGCGAAAAAGAACCCTCAGACAAGAAGAACTTCCAGCCCAAGTAGAAGAAGAAGAAGAAATACAACTCAAGTCGAAGAGAAGAATCAACTGCGTAATGATCGATAGAAATTAGCCCCAGTGTCGAACTGAACCACACTCCGACATACATACATGATTCTAGAAAGTAGGTAATTCGACATTTTCCTATTGTGTGATAGAAGCTTGGTGCCATAGTCCACAGAGCGGTCGGGAATTGAGAACAATTTTGTTTTTATGTAACGGACTTTAAGATATAAAAAGGTTGTTACCCTTTTATCAGCAATTTTGTTTGGTGTCGTGAGTTTTATTTTTATTTGTGTTTTGCCACCCCCGGCCGGACTCAACTTGTATCGCCCCGATCCCTGCTGGTCCCGTCTGTCTAAGATCTAAACACAGCGTGGGTAGACAGACCGGAGATCGGTATAGTTACTTTAGTGACCAGGTATTGAAGTAGTCGGGAAAGGCGAGGCTGGTGATCATCTGACCAAAGGGTTGGAGCGGCACGCTTGGGACCCAGGAGGAGCGACCAGGAGGAGCGACGTCACCGTTGGCGCCGTGACCAAAGGATCCGACACTGGGCCAGGTGTGTAACCGTCACATTATAATAGTATGTCTGTTCTCTTTTTTGGGGGGGTCCAGAAGGTAGGATTAGTAAGGATAAGCATCATTATAATGGTCGAGTTGAAACAACCAAAGAAAAGGTTGATTTACTTAGTAGATGGAGGTCTTAGAAGACATGTGTAAATCCCATAAATTAAAAAATGGAAAGAGAGAGTCAGTTACCAGTGGACTGTAGAAAAAGACGTTCCTAGCAGGGATGCAATTTCCACAATGTGCTACATCTTGAAGCAAGGGGTAGAAAATGTTTGCCTTTTTATAGACTTCAACAGCGCCACCTAACAGTGTTTGATGAAGTCAAGTGGGAGTCATCATATTTTTCTTTATTGTTCTTTTTTATTATTCATTATTATTATTTTATTTATTGAGTTTATTTTAACCATTATCTATCCTACATATCCTCATAATATGCAACCTTTGCTCCTCCCCGACAACCTTTTCATTTAGTAACCCTTTATCTTGAAAGGAATTTAGCCCTGGTATTATATGAATAATAGTATAAAAAATAAGATAGAGAATATTTTTCAATGCTAATTACAATTTGAAAAAGAATGAAATTGTGAAAAAGGAGCTAAAAAAAAGAAAAATTAAAGAAATTTTATTTGACTGACCTTAATTTCTGCAGGAAAATATTGCTTACGAGTTGGATCTTCAAGAACAGTTTTAAATCCATCTCTGAGGAAACGCTTCACACCATATTTTCCTTTCAATTTTCGAAGGACTTTACTAATAGTGCGAGCATGAATATTTTGTTCATGGATACCAAAAGCTGGCCAGCTGACTGTTGGAAGCAATGAAGCATCAGTATTCTGTAAAAGACAATATATATTACACGTTACTACTACTCAATGTTACAAAACTTGCTAAGACAATATATATTACACGTTACTACTCAATGTTACAAAACTTGCTATGTAAAGTACTTGATTTAATTTAAAAAAAAACAAAAAACATAACATTTAAAAAAAAAAAAAAAAAAAAAAGAAAGAAATAATCTACATTTTTTTTTCTTTCTAATCATTTCACCCCATGCAAGGTAATAAAGTCACTAAGACACTAGGAGTTACTTAGAGAGAAAGAAAATGAGAAAGGACAAAAGAACAGGGTGCAGGAAGAGAGACGATTGTGACTGATGCTGCATTAAAATTTTTGAAGATAGTAGGAAGCAGGGAAGCAAGAAACAAAAAAGAGAGTTCCACAGGTAGGAAAGGAAATTATAAGAATAGAACTTATGGTTACATCTGTTGGTTCCAATCCTGGGTGGAATAGTTATTTATTTGTACGTTTGTAGAAAATGTGGCACAAGGCCAAAAAGGGGGTTGGGGAAGGACGGTCTTCTTCTGTCTTAATTCTAAACTTAGCTAGTAACAGACACGGACCCAAACATACCAACAATATTCCTATCACCAAAACAACACATTCACTCCTACCTTTCTTACTGCGTCCACCATAATACCTCAAATTCTCTGGGAAATCCTAACTAGTCCCTATATGTACATTTCAAAGTCTGTGGTGGGGAGGGGAAAAAAAAACAAAAATTTAAAAAACCCCAATGATTATTTACAATGTGAATTAATACTATTTACATAAAACAAAACAAAATAGGGTTAGTAATGACCCCCCCCCCCATGCCTAAAAGTGGAAGAAACATCAGTTAACTGGACGAAATAATTGCAGGATTATAACATTATAAAAAAACAAATACGCCCACAAATACGCACTCATTTAGACACAAAAACAAATACGAAAAACACACACACGAAACAAAAGTAATCCTGGGTGGAATAACTGCAAAAACATCCCTCTCCCCAAATTTATAGACAAAAACATAGAGATGCATGCTGAGATTTCTTCCTAGCCAATAAGACTTCTGTCTCATCTGCCATATTTCTGTTCTTTCTTGTGTTGAAGTCAGAATGCTACAAACAATTGTCTGTATCCCTTTTGTGTGTTAACACCATTCTTAGTTTGTTAGCTTTTTGCTTTATTACTGTTGCTTTGCCTAATTTTGTCTTGCACACACACACATTATATATATATATATATATATATATATATAGATACACCTAGTGAGCCAGACAAACCTACCTAAGTTTCACCTAAACGGATCGTCAGGGAAAGCTTGGCTAACGAGGCAAAGGGAAACACATATTTATAGGTAAAATCATACCACGTGACAAAAAAAACCAAAAAAAAAAAAAAAAACCCACAACAACCTAAGTGGGCGGGGGGTTTAAATATTTATTCAACAACAACCAAAAAAAAAAAAAAAAAAATCCTCAGTGGAAAGTCATTAACGGGAAAAATGTCTAATTTAGTAGCCATGATTTTTTATGTCTACATACATTGAGAATTTCAGTTTTAGAGTTCAATAGTTGGTTAGGGCGATCATATAAAGCTATGGCTAATTTCTCCTCAGCACATAATTTGCGAAATTTATGGCCTGCTTTATATTTTTGGCATTTTTTTTAATATTTCCCATTTAAGGATGGGGTCTATATTATCTTGTTTGGTTTTCCATACGTAGGTAGATAGCGGTACTATGTTTAATTTTTTGCATTCTTAAAACTACTTTCATGGTTATAATATCTTTTCTTAAATTTATCCTGAGTAGCACCTATGTATATTTTAGGGTTAGTATCCTCACTATTTTTGTAAATCTTCACTTGATACACCACGCATTCTTGCTGGCATTTTCCTGTAATGGACAGATGTTTTTGTTTCTACAATTACAAGTAGGAGGATTGCTACATGGGATCATTCCTAGTTTTTTTTTTATTCAATCCGTTTTAAATGAGTCTAGTTATTTATATATATATATATATATATATATATATATATATATATATATATTTAGGCAGTAATCCTTTGTTTATCCATGTTTCATTAAAAATGACAGACAAGGTACTATGGTTAAGCATTTTATTTAATTTTTCTTGTGTTCGAACAAGAGCTTTCTTTTCTGGGCCAAGGGTATGTAAGAACTGTCCAAATGTTTTATATTTCCGAGCGCTTTCAGCTATACCTTTAGCCATTATCAAGGATGATTCAATTTTTCAGCTTAATTGAGTGTGTGCATTATGTGTATGTCTTAGTGTGTGGTAGGGATGTTTTAATTTCCGAATACGGTTAGCACATTGTGGCTTTGTTCGTAGTTAATATTGTTAAGAGTTGGCCTTTTCTTTTTTATTATTAAAGCTTCCATTATTTTAAACTTTTTTTACAGGTGGATGCAGTTAATATATTTGTGTTTTCTACTAGTATGTTTCTAATGGAGTCTGGTAAATTTGTGTGTGTGTGTTTAAATGGGTCCTAATGGAGCTGTGATCAGATAGGTGTAATGTAAGATCTGGATAAGCATGTAGTTGTGTAACCGATGTAATTATTTATGAGTTCGGTTTGATCAGGAACACAGTTCTTAAGGGACATTTGAACTCATAGATAATGTTCGTTCTTTGTAATTTTGACTTAGCTGTTATTTTTGAGGATAAGGTTAGCTGTCTTAAATTTTTATAATAGATAATTAAATTGATTTTTTTTATTTGGGTCAATTGGAGTAGTATATTTCTTTATAATATGCCTTAGTGAAGATTCGTCTTGTTTGTAATTAATATGCATTTGGTTTTTGTAATAAATGTGTATGTGATTTTTGGCTGTGTGTTCACTATCGTTATTACTTACTTTGGGGAGAAATAGTCTAATTTTCTTACACACCCTTGGTCCAGAAAAGAAAGCTCTTGTTTGAACACAAGAAAAATTAAATACAGTAATAAATACCGTATGTTGGTCTGTGGAATTCATTTCATTCACTTCTAACAGTTGACTACTTCTATGTGCTGCTGGCGAATCTTATATGTGTTGTTCTTGTCTTAAATATTATCGTTCATTACTAACCTTCGTGCAATTATTCCATTCACCTTCCTAGTAGCAGGCCTCACAATTCAATATAATCACTCCACTTCATGTTAATGTAAACCATGTCACCAAAAAAGAACTCTCCTGGAGGCTAGACTCAGCCATGCTGATAGAAGGTAAAAAAAAGGCTCTTTATAGTGATTAAAAGGTAGCAGTTTCCTTTTGGAGGTGTTAAAATTTACAAGCTATTTCTGGCCTCAGCCAATAACTGATTGAAGATCATTTTCAAGAGCAGCTACCAATTTTACTTTGTCGAACATATCTGTTGTAACCTAAGGAAGGTTACTGAATCGAATAATTACACGAAGGTTGGTAATAAACAATGATACTTAGGACAAGAACAACACATATAAGATTCGCCAGCGGTGCATAGAAGTAGTAGTCAACTGCTAGAAGTGAGTCAAGTTAATTCCACAATGAATCTCCAACTGCAGACCAACATACGGTATTTGCAATGCATTTATGGGAATGGGGACATACCCATTATGGTCCATAGGTATGCTATGACAATATCAAACTTACTATAAGAGACAGGTGTAACTTGTTGTGTGATCAGTATCAGAATAGATACTGAGTGAGGAACTGATAATATCAAGAAGATCGTTGAAGAAAATAAGAAACAGCATAGGTCTAAAGATAGAGCCCTGGAGACCCTCACATTAATGTATCATAGATTAGTTCTGAATGAAAATTCAAATAAACTGGAGATTGAATTAATGATTTCTTCAAATTCTTTACCTTTGAATTAGATTCCCCAGGTAAAATTATTGAAGATCAAAATTGACCAGAAAGCAAAAATTTGGTTTGGTTTATTTTGTTTTACGGCATGTCAACCTCAATGGGTTATTTAATGCCGACAATATTTTTATTGCTGGTAATATTTTTTCAAAAATGTATGGCTGCTAATATTTTTTTTTCTTCAAAAATCTATTTCTGATAATATATAACACAGATACTGAGCTTTTAGTTTTGTAAATTCCTATAAAGTAAAGCTGAATTCGTTGGAGAATTGAACTCAGTTTCGCATTTATTCATAAAGATTCCATAATATAGGTTTTACTTAATTAGCTATTATCTTTCTCTAACTCTTCAAATGTTGAAATTATAACTAATTCTAATTTCTATTTTCCCATCTTTACACTATATTAATTTTCTCTTATAAATTGTTCCCTGTTCTGTCACCCATGAAAGTTGATTCCCTGTGTTGTGCGTGTCAATCCTTGTACACTTATAAATCTACCATTCATCCCTGCATTGAATATTGATGCTATATCTGGTTTGGTTTGTTTTACGGCATATCAACCTCAATGGGTTATTTAATGCAGACAAGATTTTTATTGCTGTTAATATTTCTGTTCAAAAATGTATTGCTGATAATAAATTTTTAACAAAAAATTTATTGCTGGTATTAAAACCTATTCTTACACTTTCATAGTGTTTTGACCCCAGTTTTGGGGTTAACTATTTGCCTGTAGTTGGGGCTCTAACGGGTGCTACTACCCTGGGTCAGGGTGGACCTGGGAATACTAGCAATTAAGAGGTGGTTCCACACTCCTCAAAACCTACTGATCAGAGGCCTTGCTGTCGGATGTAGTTTATCATTTTACTCAGGACACGCAAAAAGTCAGAAGAGATAAGCAAGACATGTGAGGTAAGAAACTTTTAGCATAAAACTTATGGTTACATCTAGGAATTTCAACTGTAAAATGATGAGACCTAGCTGCCAATCAGGTACTGAACTTAAATTCTAGGTACTACAGAGGAAATCTCATCAGAAAAATTACTATGAAAATATTTATAGAAAAGCTACAAAAAAGTTATATTACAGTAGGGAGAAAGTGTCTGAAGCTGAGATGTCAGGTTAGGTCCAATAACATTGCAGATTCTTCTTTGGATTTTATCAAGAATCATCACTAAATACATACTAGAAGCACCAGTTTTATATTATAAATTGTTCCCCAAAGAAAATTCAAATGGGCTGGAAATTGAATTTATGTTTTTCTCAAATTTTTACCTTTGAATTAGATTCCCGAGGTAGAATGGTTTCAAAAATTGTCCTGTTGCGGTTGTGAGCATCAATGTCAATATAAATAACTGACCAGGCTGCACCTTGGTCACCAAAAACATTCAGTCCTGTGATTGATTCAAGTGCGGCCTTTGCAAAACCAACTGAGCTGTGAAAGAAAAAAAAAAACAATTGAGATAGGAGGAAAGGATAATAAAATAAAATTTAATAGATCTTTTAATTAGTTTAAATTCAGTTACTTGGTTGAAATAATGTCATTTAAATTAATTTACATCAACCAAACCAGACCCCCTTTAAGGACAGACTATTCCTAGAAAAAAACTATGAATTGGGTGGGGGGAAGTCTTTGTTTTTTTTTGTTTTTTTTTAATTTGGCCAATTGAAAAGAAATTTATTATTTTTGTACATTGATTGCACTCACATTTCTAGTTGTGTAACATGACTACAAGTGTTGCTTTAAATAATTCTGGAAAATATTTGTATTCACTGACTCATGATGAAAGGAGAAAAACAAAAGAGGATGCTTTTTAAAGGTTTATATTACCTCCCTTTTTTGACCATCCTATTATAACTTCACCAGTCCACATGACCACTAGGCCCTGCCAATACCTCAGAAATAATGGACTATACTGTTTTGATTGCATGGAAAGGGAGTAAAAGACACTACTTTATTTTAATGAGAAAATAAAGCAGGGAAGTCAGGAGTGGAGAGAAAGAATCAGATTAAGCCGATAATAACATTTACTACATTTCGGTCCCAGCCAAAAGACCAAGACCTCCTGACGATCACGATGAAAGCACCATTTTTCAGATGCACAGTATTCAGCGATGGAAATTGAGTAAGGTATTTACAAAAAAATCTAGTTAACATAAATAAAATATTGTCTGCTGAATTATTTTAAATTATTATTAAGAGAAATGTTTGTAGAACTAGGATTTGGCTACAGAGAAAGAAAGAAAGAAAGAAAGAAAGGAAGAAAGAAGGGAAGATTGAAGTGTTTAATGTCTCCTGCCAATACCTCATAAATAATAGACTAATCTGTTTTGATTGTGTAGAAAAACAAGAGACATAAGCTACCTGGTTTCAGTGAGAAAAAGAAAGAAAGGAAGAGAGAAGAGGGGAGAAAGAGAGAGAGAATCAGATTAAGCTGATAAAAACAGATTCTACACTTTGATCTTAGTGAAAAGGCTGAGAACCGATTAAATTTTCTTGCTACCACAAGGTCAATTTAATATGTGGAGGCTGAGCATGTGCACTCAGCCTTTGTCAGTGTAAGTTAGACTGGCATCAGTATTACTACTGATTCCCCTCTTCTTTAATGTCTTGAGGGGAAGTACTACTGTGGGCAGCTGTTTCCTGAGGCCGGCAATTTGCAATAATATTTTCAGTTGTGTGCCTATCTGGAGAAAGTGGCACAACTGAGAGATGAAATGTAGCTTATCGGCCAGAGGGTAAATACTACAATTTGATCCCAGCCAAAAGACCAAGAATGATAGTGACTGTGATAAAAGTGCCATTTTTTCAGACAAACAGTATTGAATGATGGAAACTGTAAGGTAATCCCCCAAAAATCTAGTTACCATAAATAAACTAACATCATCATCAATATCTGTCTATATTTCTGAGATATGGTATTGTGACTATTTACACTATCTACATTGTTATCCTCAACTTTATTGCTATATTCATGACATTCTGGCCATTGTACACTTTGGTTTTCTTCAGTTGTCCCCAGGGACAGATGGCCCAGTGGATAAAAATGTTGGTTAATTGATGCAAAAATACATGGCCACAACAGAGAGAACAAAGACAAGGACACGTGGCACGGTGGATAAAGGCGTTAGTTAGATCCAGTGACAGGACCCAAAGAGTGTGAGTTCAATACCCGGTTAAGGCAGTGGAAAACTTGGAGAGGGGAATTAACAGGAGATAACTGTTAACTGATATCCATTAAACATGGCATGTGGAACTAGAACAGTCTACCCCAGTGAGCAAAATAAAGGGTTCAGTTCGACATTACAACCACCTGAAGAAGGCTGGAGTGTACAATGGCTGAAACGTTGTAATAAATATGGCGACAAAGATGAGAGCAATAGTCCGAATAATGTAAATAGTGTACATAATACCTCATCTCAGAAATATAGACAGATACTGAGGATCCGAAACGTTGCAATAAATATGGCGACAAAGATGAGGAGAATAGTCCGAATAATGTAAATAGTGTACATAATACCTCATCTCAGAAATATAGACAAAGAACAAAATCTTGGAGAGTTGAGTTATCAAGGGGAATTAACTGAAATGGAGATATCCAAAGACATGGCAGGTTGAAACAGAACAATCTATCCCTGTAGATTAAATAAAGGGTTCAGTTCAAAATTCCAAGAAATATCACCTAAAGAAGCCCAGAGTGTACATCAGCTGAAACGTTGTGAATATGGCAATAAAGATGAGGATATGTTTTTTATTCTGTAATGAGAAATAACGATTTTATGGCATTGTTTTGTTAACATTGAAAAAAAAAAAAAAAAAAAAAAAAAAATGAATGATGCATGTTATTGAAAAATAAAGTTTGTATGTTATCCTAAATGTTATTTAACACGATTATGAAAATTAATGATTGGTGTGAAAGCATGCATAACTCTACAAATCAAGAAAGATTCGTTTACATTACTTGTTATGTAAGCAAATATATGGATATAGATCCGACAGTATGAAGAAAAATATATACGGAAAAAACAAACAAAAATCCTTATATGCAATTATGCTGTTTTAATGTTAATATGTCAACGTCGGACGTTTCAGTCTAATAAACCATCTTCAGGACATATTCATAAAATATAATTAACATTATCAACATATAATTAATTATAATTAACATTATCTTTGTCATGTTGAATTGATAATATTAATTATATTTTATGAATATGTCCTGAAGATGGTTCATTAGACCAAAACATCCGACGTTGACATATTAACATTAAAACAGCATAATTGCATATAAGGATTTTGTTTGTTTTTTCCGTGTATATTTTTCTTCATTACTTGTTATGTGTGCATGTTGCTCAGCAGAACTTTTGTAAATTGTTGTGTAATCGTCTCTTGAATATTGCATTTTAATGTGAAATCAAGAAGTAAAAGTAGTTTTATTACATTTATAACTGTAGTACAGAATTATAATGTGAACTGGTTTCAACTAGAAATATTTACATCGGTAGTTACCATACCAAGGCAGTTATTAGGCTCTTGCAATCTATGGTGCAAGCATACTAGCCTACTTACCAGTGCTGATACACCACAGGATTTAAGGTTAGATTCATTTAACTGTTGTACTAGACGACACACTATTTTGGGGGGTCAATTTTTAAGATTTAAAGGTTGCATTACATGCAGAAAAATATGATATGTTTTGTCTGAAGGAATAATCTACGATTTTTATCTATAAAAATAATTTTATTATTATACATAAAAAAAAAAAAATTGTTTTTTTTAAAAAATCATTAAAAGTCAAAATATTGAAAGAAAGTTAACACATAACAAAAGAAATAAAAAGCAATCAATTAACAAACCTGTTTTCACTGCCAATGAGAGACTCCATTGTTATGGTAACACAATCTTGATTTGTTTACTAGCATCAAATGACACCTTTTGTCACCATAATAACGAAATATCTTATTCTAAGAACAGGAAACCAAACTGAGTGACTAATAAATATATAGAGTGAAATTGTGTTTTATGTTATAGAATAAATTATAATTATTATCTGTCATTGTTGTTGCTCTCATAACAATAATTTAGTAAATAATAAATTTACTAAATAACTTACCTAGCATGAATTTCAGTTGAGCCATTATTATATTTTGTACCTCTTTCCCACATTCCATAATCTGGAGTTCGGTAAGCTCTTTCTACAGAAAATACTAAGTTTTGTACAAAGTTCACTTCATCAGTGGAGAATATTACCTGTAAGAGTAAAGAAGAAATGGAAATTGTGACATTTCATGAATGCATTGTCTTAACAATTATTAAGTTTTACTGCAATCAGTTTTGTTAAATAAAATACAACAAACTGAATATCCAAGATCAGCTTTAAGAGTTGTAAAGTCAAACCAGAAATATTTCTTTTGCAGCATCCCTAACCTGCTCACAGCCCCCAATTTTTTTTTCTTCAATCATTTCACTCCAATAAAACCACTAAGATGCAAGGGGTTACTGAGAGTGAAAGAATATGGGGAAAAGAAAAACACTATTAAGGAGAGAGAACAATGAAAGAAGAGAAATTAAGAAGAGAGAAGATAAAGATTGTTATAAACAAATAAAGCCACAAAGACTCAAGGGATTGCTGAGTGTTATAAAATATGAGAAAGAAAAACAGTATTAAGGACAGAGAATAATAAGAGAAGAGAAATTAAGAAGAGAGAAGATAAAGATCGTTATGAGTCTATCAATTGAATAGAATTTTATTATGAACAATTGTCTTGTAAATGGAATTTGTAATGCATTCTGAATGTAAAAATAAAGAAAAAAGTGTGCAAGACAATAACAAACACTACCTGCCAAAAAAAAGTGAAGTTTTGTTGAAATCGGTTGAAAAATGTAGGAAATCTGATCCCATATATAAAAGAACACACACACACACAAACACAAACAACCTGGGTTTTATAATAAGTACAACTTGATATGAGTTGTCCCCCCTTTCATTCTGGTGACAGAATCATGTCTTATGTTTTCAAATTGATTTTGTGCAAAAACAATTGTGTTTTCCTATTTTTGATGCTGTTAGAACCACCACAAGGTAATTTTACGCAGTCCTGTGAAGTTTTGTTGAAATTGGTTGAAAAATGTAGGAAATCCGATCCAATATATAAACGTACAGACACACACACACAAACACACACACAATCTGTTTTATAATAAGTAAGATGTAAACTTTTACCTGAAGACCTGATGAAATCATCTGTACAAGGAAAATCAAATATAAGCCAATAACATCAATCTGAAAAAAAAAAAAAAAAAAGTATATATACATATATATCAAAATACCTGCTGGCCAATACAGCATTCAGATAAGAAGAAAATGGTCAATAATACAGAATTTAAAAGCTTAGGAATAATTAGGAACAATTACATGAAAGAAATTTAAGAAAATATCGGGTCACTTTTAGGACATGAAATGTGTGTAGGTTATTCTATCTTGAATCAACCAATAGCCACAGGTGACCCTCTCAGAAAAATCTGGGAAAATCCACAGACATTTATTGACTGAATCTATTATTAAATCCTAAATATTAGATCTTTATCTTTTATTATTTTTAAAATCAGAGCATCTTGAAATTTCACTGCACTTTTACCTTTTGCTAAATAAGGCTCTCTACAGATTCCTGTCATTTATAGCTCTAAGGATATTGCATTTACAGATTTGATACTTGATGACATTAGTTAATCTTTACTGTAGATTCTTCTATGTGCTGTGACCTTTCAGGACGTTGGTGATCATGGCTCTCCACAGTTTCCTGTCCTCTTCATAAATTTTGTCTTTTTGCCATCAACAACTTAAGTGTATATTATGTATTTTTATAAGAATCTTAAAAATGGCTGAAATGACAAATTTTGAAAAGATGCTGTCCAACTTGAAAGGTTCTCATTTACAAAGCATGTAAGATACAGCATCTACATTAGTTTTCCTCTCATATATAACCTAATAAATTATTTCTATGTAGTAACCATATTCATTCTTGATATAGGAAAGTCAATATTAGGATTTGAAAATTGCTCATTTTTTTTTTAATCCTTAAAATTGCCTATTTTTATGACATCATCAAACTGGTTAGGCTATTTAAGAAAATTTTTATATTTTGACCACATATTCTTAAATATCTGAAGATCATATGACAGAAGTTTTGTTTTGCAGACAAACTTCCCTCTTGGATTAAAGCATATTTTTCTAGAACCACTTCTCATACTGAAATTATGGTTTTTCAATTTTTGGCTGCTTATAAATTTTATATTTAAGAAAATATGAAGCTGAAAATTGTTACCCCTAAAATTTCTATGTTTGGCTTCATTTGACCTTTGTTCAAAATAATTTAGATACTGTGAACCCTTAAAAATGTTTTTTTGGATGGTCTACAAAATTTTTAACTGAACAAAGTAACTAAACCAAAACATTAAACTAATTATTCCACTAGATTATTTTAATTTTAAATACATCAAGTCAAAATAGGGAAAATGCATCAGAATTTGTTCAAATTGAGCAATTTTATTGATACAAATCACAATCAGTGAGGCCAAAATTACACAAACATTTTTAAAAGACATAAACAAAAATATTTAGTTATGACCCAGTGGATAAAAGCATTGGCTGAAATAATTCAATGACTTGACCCAAAGAGTTGTGAGTTCAATACCTGAACAAAAATTTGGAGAGTTGAGTTACTAAAGAGAATTAACTGAAAAACTGAGATATCCAGAGAAGGCATGGCATGTGGAACTAGAATAATTTACCTCCATAGACTAAACAAAGGGTTCAGTTCAAAATTCCAGCATATATCATCCGAAGTAGGCTGGAGCATACAATGGTGAAAATATTGTGAATATGGCAATAAAGATGAGGACAATAGTCCGAATGATGGAAATAGTGTAAATAGTTACAATACCTCATCTCAGAAATATAGACAGATACTGAAGGATCAGTTTGGATCTGATATACGAAAAATATGAAGAATATGGCAATAAAGATGAGGACAACAGCCCAAACGATGGAAATAGTGTAAATAGTTAAAAGACCTCATCTCAGGAATATAGACAGATAAATATTTAAGTTTAGTGATAACAGTCAATACTTTCAGTGATAAGTCAGTATTTTAACTAGTAGCTTTTAATATTCCAATGTATTTAAAATTGCTAATACCTTGATTGTGTAATTTATTATTTGTAAAATAATTAAAATTTCATGTGATGTATCATTTTGTGTGAAAAGAATTTAAAGCTTTTTTGCAGCTAAAAACATACATCATGCAATGGATATTTCCCACTTTTATAGTAGAGCCAAGGAATTTCGATAATGGAAATTTCCAGAGTTAAGCAAGACCCATTTAGAATGGCATTCTTTGTTATTTTTTTTTAAAACTCTTACTTTGGAACGAGGATAAAAAGATGTTTATCATAATGCCCCCCACCCCCAAGTGCCAAAGCACAGGATGTTTTTGTTGCAATTGTCACTTACCTGTAAGTGGCCATATTCATCATCTTTGTAGACTGGGTCTCCTGTGACAATGTCAAATACTGTGTGAAGTGCATTTATGGGATTTTGGTCATATTTGAATTTTTCAACCTAAAAAAAAAAAAAAAAAAAAAAAAAAAAAAAAAAAAAAGGTTAAAAAATAATAAATAAATAAAAGAAAATTTGTTTAAGTCAAACTTTGTTTAAAAAATATGTAAAAAAAAAAAAGTTAAAAAAAAAAAAAAAATTAAGAAAAATTACTTAAGTCAAACTTGGTTTAAAAAAAATGTGAAAAAAAAATTTAAAAATAATAAATAAATAAATAAATAAAAAAAATTGCTTAAGTCAAACTTGGTTTAAAAAAATATATATATATATATATATATATATATATATAAAAAAAAAAAAAAAAAATTCCTATTTTCAGAATTTCTCCATTACAAATTATCAGAAATAAATAACAAGGTTTTTAAAAAAAGATTCCTGTGACAGAGTTCAGAGACAGAGTTTACAATAATTCTACAACACAAATTTTTTTTGTTTATTCAGGATAGTGACTTAAAAAAGCCATTCTGTTAGAAAAACTATTAATTCTTTTAATCATTTCACCCCAAGCAAGGCAAGAAAGCCACAAAGATGCAAGGAGCGGAAGAGAATATGAGAAAACAAAACAAAAAACACTATTAAGAAGAGAGAACAATAAATGAACACAATTTAAAAAGATAGAAGATAATGATAGACATTGCATTTAAATATTTGAAGATCAAAGTTGACTGGTAGGCAAGAAGCTGGAAGAGAGTTTCACAAGCAAGAAGTGTGAGAAAAACTGTTAGCATAGCACTTATGATTACATCTTGCCTTTTCAATTGTAAAATGATGATACCTAGCTGCCAATCTAGTACTGCACTTAAATTCATAAAGTTTAGGTAGCAAGGATGAAAGTTTATCAGAACAATTACCATGAAAGTATTTATAGAAAAGGTACAGGGAAGCAATGTTATGGTGGTGGGAAAGTGACTGAAGCTGAGATGCCAGGTCAGGGCCAATAACATTGCAATACCAATCTTTGGATTTTATCAGGAATCTCTGAATATATGGCAGGACAACAGATGAAATGTGAAAATTTAAAAACAGTGTTAGCTGGCAAAACGATGACAGAGTTCCCTAGCCTTCCAGAGTTGCTACCAGCAGCGGTAGAACTACTGGGAGAAGTGTATAAACTCCCAAGGAGAGTGTAAAGTGAAAATATGGCTATAAGAAGACTGTGTTGATTATTTATGGCTAATTTATTTAAATAATGCACTGATTATCATTTGTGTCATATGGCAATAATTGTAAGTAATATGATGCACTAAAATAAGTAACCAAATAATCGTTTTAAGTTCTGATTATTGCTGCATAAATTAATTAATAAGAACATTTCTGTGAAAGATTTTTCAGGGTAATTTAACTGAAATGTTTAAAGATAAAGTTGTATAAAATTTTTAGTAAAAATTAACTAATTTGTTTTTATTTACACTACTTACATGCGGACTATTGTCCTCACCTTTGTTGTTGTTATCACAATGCTGTGGTCATTTTGCCCCCTGGCCTTCATCCGGCTTAATATTGATCAGAGTAACCTCCAGGGAATTCCAAACAAACTTTTATTTAATCTATGGCATTGTTCCACTGACCATGTCTGGGGATATCTCGTTTAGTTCTTATTTTTAGTACTGTTCAGTTATTGCTCACCCTCTTCCTACTGAGTCCAAGTACAAAATGCCTAGCCCTGGGATTGAAATCCACAATTACTAAGCCATCAAATTTACAAACCAATGCTTTAATCCATCTAAATAAAGGGTTCAGGTTGAAATTCTCTGTAGGTTACCCAGATCAATATACACCTGATGAAGGTTGGAAGGGCCAATGGCTGAAACGTTGTGATAACAAAAAAGATGAGGAAAATAGTTCGCATATATATAGTTTAAATAATGATTTCTCCACATTCTAGAAATTTGAACAGAAATTAATTTGTTTTTGTTTTTATTTATTTATTATTCATTTTTATTTATTTATTTTATTTATATTTTATTTTATTTATCATTTATTACTTATTTATTTATTATTACCTGTACTGTAATTTATCCCAAGAATCTTCTTCTCATAACAGGAAGAAGCCGGCTCAATCTGCCCAGGGTGAATGTCGCATCAGTACAGTACAGTAGTAGTACCTGTACTATAGGGTAGCCATGGAAAAACTAAAGGGTTTGAGAAAGTCATAACTTTTTCATTTTCAATCTTTTCTTTTGGTGGTGGTGGTGGTGGTGGGGGGGTTGTAAAGCATCCCTTTGAGATTAAAATATATATCATATCCAGCAATGAATAAAACTCATTGAGTTTTTCTATTCAAATGAAAGATCAATTATTCAAAGTCGGGAAAAATAGCAGCAACATATTAATATCAGAGTATCTCCCAGCGATAACATGATTTGAAACCTAATCGAGTGGTATGAAAATACTGGATCAGTCAGCAATCTACTGGGAAGAGGTCCTAAGCACACTGTGTGCACTGATGCAGCGGTGGAATATGTACAACAGAGTGTCATTGAGGATCCATCAGCTTCTACTCAACTAGATATCACCATAAAATCGCTTTAAAAGATTTTGAAACTTGATTTAAAAATATTTCCAGACAAGATTCAAAATGGTCAAAACTTTACTACCCAAAGATACTCATGTGTTTGTAAAAGTTATTTTTGTTTTATATCCTCCATTCTTTCATTAAAAAAGAAAAAAAACAAAAAAAACTGAATGGATCAAAATGAATATTAATTTTTTAAACATTGCTTAAAGTTGCTTTGGCTATGTTATTAACAACCATAAATGGTAAAGTAAAAAAAAGAAACATTTTGATTTTTAGATGGTTTGAAATCTTTTCAAGACAGTTCTGGGATGATGGTAAAAAAAAAAAAAGTTAATCTGGAGCCCTGGTCATATGCAAGCAGTGTAAACTGATTAATGTGGCACAATGGAACCACACTTGATTGGTTAGGATGCCAACAAAGTTAAATGGACTGTAAATGCTCTGGGTAACTGGTGGTTTTATGATAACTGCGTCACCAGTAAAAATCAAGATATGAGAGTTTCAAAGCAACCACTGATTGTAAATAAGTAGGGAAAAAAAAAAAAAAAAAAAATGTCTGAATAAATAAATAAAAACTTTTGGGATCAAGTGACACTCAGACGGATTTTAGTGAATTGCAGTCATGGGCTTCTACAGTAAGGCTGCATTCTAAATGAGACAACCAGTCATGGTTATGGTTAGAGTAAGCAGGTTTTTGGACGGGTTTAATGGGTTTAGAGAGGACATACCCACATTAAAAAGGCTTTTTGAACTATTGTTCTCCATCTTGGTTGTTATTATAGACACAACATTTCAATCAAGTACTCTCTGGTCCTCATCAGATGTCTATTGATTGGTTGATATGGGATATCTGTTGATTATTGAAATATTTTGTCTATCTGATGTCAGTTATTGTTTCTTCAAATTCTTCTCTGGATTTTGTCAAGAATTTCTAAATACATAGCAGAAGCACCAGACTAGATATGACAGCAATGTTCAATGCATAGATGAATGGTAAACTTATAAATATGTAAGATAGAGTCTGACAAGAAAAATTGTCTGGCACAACTAGTTAAGAAACCAAAACTAAAAGCAATGGTGGAAAATGGACAGTATCTTTGGGTTCAGCATCCCTAAATTGTTCAAAATTAGGCAAAACACTCCATGCATCCTTTAAAATAAAAAAAGGAGGCCCATGTGACTTAAACATGATTTTAAAACATATGGGAAGATATGCACAGCTATATGTAAGTATTTTATTGATTTTGATTCAAATTTTATTGAATAAATGTGAATAATTAAAAGAACAGACCTTGTGAGACAAAACAGTTTGATGCATCCAACAGTATAGGATACCTCGCATAGTTTTGACAGCACTTTGTGCAAGTTCTTGAGTACGGCCTTTGTCATCATCAATGTGTCTAGAAAAGAAAACTTCATATGTTACTGAAAAGGGCACAAAAAATTTATATATTGTAATTTATGATTTAAATACAATGTGTGTTACTACCTTTGTCCCATAATACATGTTCATTTTCATTCATTTTTTATACATTAAATATAACAATTATTATGGGACAGAAGTAGTCTATTATTATTTATATAATACTACTTTTGTCCCATAATAATTGTTCCATTTGCTTAAACATTTCATACACTAGATGTACCAAGCATTATGGGACAGAGGTAGTCAATTATTATTTATAGAATACTACTTTTGTCCCATAATAATTGTTCCATTTGCTTACACATTTCATACACTAGATGTACCAAGCATTATGGGACAGAGGTAGTCAATTATTATTTATATAATACTACTTCTGTCCCATAATAAATGTTTCATTTACCTACATATTTCATACACTAAATGTACCAACTATTATGGGACAGGGTTTTTTTTTTTTTTTTCACATTTCAATTTTTTTATTACTTGATAGATGTAACAAACACCATTAAAAATAAAATAAAGCTGGACACCTCATTCAAACAAAGGTATCCACTAAAAATAAGATTTGATGTAATATAAATGTGGGGTTAAAAATAAATTAATTCTTTATACATTTTGTTCATGCTTCAGATACGAAATCTGAGCAGTGAGGGTTTGCAGAAAATATGAAGTGAATGTGCGTTCCTTAAAAGGGTGTGTATAACCTGGCTGGGATGTGATGCTATCTGTGGCTGAGTGGTTTAAAACATGCCACATCAAATGGTTGGTTTCTCTTATAAAAGGTGGATGCAGATTCTTTAAATTTTCTTGAGTGGACAGGCCAGCAGACATAATACATACTATTTCAAAAAACAAAAATGGACATCTATTTCAAACATGGGTATCTAATAAAGATAACATTTGAAGTAATAACAATATCAGATTAAAAATAAAGCCATTAATTCTTTAGAAACACACACAAACATTTTATTGGTATATGTTATTTATATAGACACAAATATTTAAGTATGTTCTGTTTATAATATACAGTATTAACAACATTTACCAGACTGAATGTCTGGAACATTTTATAGAAAATATGTGTCGTATGACGGGAATCGAACCTGTATCTTACATGGAACCGCCATATAACCTGATGTGCTATACCATTTAGCTATGAAGAAAGAGTCTAAACACACTGGCATTGATAAAACAGACGACAGATATCTCTGTCCGCCAAAATAAGCTATTCCCCATATGAGGTAATTTGGGATTTTATTGTTTATTAATTATATATATATATATATATATATAACAATGAATTATGAATTATTCATACAAAAAGTAAATTAGTAAAGTTAATTTTGTTAGCAAAGGGATTTTGATATTTTATATCAGTAACTTTACTAATTTACTTTTTGTATGAATACTTCATTGCAATATAAATTGAACTGCACCACACACATATATATATATATATATATATATATATACATACAATATTCTCAAATAGAGAATATCTGTAGAAGAGACTTTAAAAATACATATTTTAAACCAGTTAATTTATAATATCTATGCTCTGTAAATTTACACTGAGCACGGTTTTGTAAAAATAAAAATAAAAAATATCAATAAGAACACCGGATTATATATCTTACTGTTCTTTCTTTTTTTATATTTTATATATATATATATATATATATATATATATATATATATATATAAAAAAATTAACCATCTTTTTTCCTAAATTGTGAATAATCTTTCACAAAACTGGCTGCAGCAGATGCACTAAATAAATGTCCAAAATCAAGGTCTAATTGCTGTTTAATTACACAAAGTGTAATTAGACAGCAATTAGTGCCAGCAATCTGTTTCATGATTGAACACAATCTTCATGCCTGAAGTTTTTACCCCAGTGCCAACTTTTATACTGTATATTTCTGCATATAAGACAACCTTTAAATCACAAAAATCACTCTTAAAAATTGGGGGTTGCCTTACAATTCTATAAAAGAAACTTTAAATTCTGAGTGATGTTTGTCAGTAGACTAACCCTGACCTCTGCGCAATAAGCATTAATGTACATGAAAAGATTCACATTATCAAATAACCTGATAATAAAAGTAATAAAACCATTTCTACCTTATATATTACTGGCATAACTTCATAATAAATTGCCCATTTGAAGACTAATTCCTTATCAATGAAATTGACTTGTATCCATGCAAGCTCAGCTGAGAAAATGTAAATGAGTTATAACTGCGTTCACAGCAATATTTCTTTCATTAAACATTTAATAATCACCATGGTTAATTATGACAGTAATATGACAGTAATAACATTGAGGATAACATAATATTCATTTCTCATTATAAAGTCTATCATTTTGGTGTTAGATAATAACACAATTTAGGATTATTTTTTGATTGTCTTTGAAGTATAAGTAAATGACCATGAGTACACCAGGTTGTTTATAACTGTTTAGATATAGAAAAAGAAGAGGAAGACGAAGAATCAGTATTTGCAAGAGATCACGTGATGAAATGTAAACAAAACCAATGGTTTCCCTTCTAAGGGACGTGTGCAGGAAAAACAATATAGAATCGGTGTTGTTATTTTAAATTTCTAAAGACACAGTAACAATATTTCCAATAAAATCATCTTTATATAATCAATAAGCAGTCATCTTATACTACAGGTATAGGATAATTTCATGAAAATTTGCTACATTTTTTACCTTGACATAGGTGGAAATATACAGTGTTTATATATGCTCTACTCTTGATATTGAGCACTTTTACACATAAATATAGCCTACCGTAAAACTATATTTTATTATATATATATATATATATATATATATATAGTGCAGAGTGCGATGGATAAATTGTCACCATTTTATATTTTTCATTTTGTACATGTGTATTGCTTGTTTTTGTTGACTGCACAATAGTGTCAGTTGGGTACCATTTATGAGAAAAAGAGCACCATGATGCAGTTCACTCTGCCAGAAATTTGGAAACAGCATGCTGTACTGCTTGGCATTTGAGCTAGAAGCTCCAATATGAACAGTTCAGAATGTCAATCTGAGGACAGTGCAGAGGATTCAGAAAGAGTTGGATGAGTCTAATAGTGATTACGAAGGTATGGCAGCTCAGAAAACTCACTCTGTTCTGATAAGAAAAGAACTCTCAAATTTGTCGGTGAGGGCCTCAGACTCAACACAGAGCCTATATCAAGTGCCTTGAGGAGGTAGTGCTGCCCTGGGTCAAGAGGGTGGCTGCTGGAAAACCCTATATCTGGCAACAGGACTCTGCACCATGCCACACAATCATTGCTCTCAGACAATTTCTGTGACCACATCACCCATTACATCTGGCCACCTAACTCTCCAGAATGCAAACCCTTTGATGATTATGTGTCAGGCACAGTTGAGAGAGAGAGAGAGAGAGACCAACAAAATTCCATGTAACACCAAAGATGAACTGAAGGCAAGGATTATGTCAACCTTCACCAACACTGTCCAGAAGAGTTACAATAGATTCCAAAGTTGTCTGGAAGCCACGGTCAAAGCTAATAGTGATTTTATTGAATAAATTTTCTATTTCAAGATAATTTTGTGTAATTTTGGTAAATATATCTGTTAAAATGAGATAATGAGATGTCAGTGTTATTTTCATTTTTGTTTAATTTAGATGACAATCTATCCATCGCACCATATATATATATATATATATATATATATATATATATATATATATATATATATATATATATATATATAAAACTTGACTCTCCCGCTGAATTCGACGTGAGGAGGGTCAAGCAGATCAGCTCCTAGGAAACTGACAGCCCGATAACAGCTCATGAGATTTGATTACAGTGGTGAAGGTTTCGCGCAGGATCATCCACACTTTTTGAAGGGCTGACTACAGAGATCTGGTCCACTACGTGCCACAAGGTCCCTAAACGACCCTCTGCAGGTTTTGAATTCAGAGTTGTCCTTCTCCTAGACCAGTTGCCATCCAAGGCTATAGAACTCATTCTGTCCATAGCTGGAGGGAGAAGAAGAGGATTCACACCTTTCCCAAGGGTATTAGCACGTAAGTGAATGTAATCAATTCGACTGGAATTCAAACTCGGCTTTCCCATTCCTCAATCTGAGCCGCTATCCATTACGCCACCGTGTCTCCATATATATATATATATATATATATATATATATATATATATATATATATATAATTAAACTCATTTTGAAAAATCCTCAAATTTTTGATTTGCTAATCAAATCAATCTTGAGGGAAAAAAAGGTTTTAAAAAAAGAAAGAGCTACAAACGTGAACTTCTGTCGACAAAAAAAAAAAAAAAACACAGATGCAGGTCTGAAGCCCCTAAAAAAAAAAAAACCCCGATACAAGTAACAACTAACAAAAGCGCTCAATACAAGCGTAGAGCAGACCTAGATACACCTAGTGAGCCAAACAAACCTACCTAGGTTTCACTAAACGGATCGTCAGGGAAAGTCAAGCTAATGAGGCAAAGAGAAACACATATATTTATAGGCGATAGCCAAAATCATACCACGTGACCAAAAAAACAAAAAAAAAAAAACACAAACACCTAAGTGGGGGGGAAAGTATTTATTCAACGAAAATGGGGAGGGAAGAAAAAAACAAAAAACACGCACATTAAGGTGGAATATCAATAACAGGAAACTGTCTAATTTAGTAGCCAAGATTTTTTATGCCTACATACGTTAAGGATTTCAGTTTTGGAGTTTAATAGCTGGTTAGGTTGATCATGTAAAGCTATGGCTAATTTCTCCTCTGCACATAATTTACAAAACTTATGGCCTGCTTTATATTTTTGGCATTTTTTTTAATATTTCCCATTTGAGGATGGGGTCTATATTATCTTCTTGTTTAGTTTTCCATACATAGGTAGATAGCGTGGTACTATGTTTAATTTTTGCACTGGTTTTGTACACTGGTTTTTTTAAAAATTCGGATTCTATCTCGATATAGAAACTAATTTGAAAATCATCAACTATCTAGATATTACGTTGAATTTACAAAATGGCACAATATCCCCGTATAAAAAAGAAAACCAAGAACCCCAGTATTTACACATAAAATCTAATCACCCAGCCCATATCATAAGGCATATTCCTAAAAATATTGGGTATAGACTTTCTACTAATTCCTCCAATAGGGAAATTTTTGAGGCCAATAAAATAAGTTATGAGGAAGCCCTAATTAAGAGTGGACATAAAAATAAATTAGAATATATTAATATAAATAACCACAACAGTACTCAGAATAAACATAATAGGCAAAGAAATATTTTGTGGTTCAATCCTCCTTTTAATTTAGCGGTAAAAACTAAAATTGGTAAGATATTTTTTAATTTATTGAAGCAACATTTCCCCCAAAAAACTGAGTTACATAAAATATTTAACAAAAACAATGTAAAACTTAGTTATTGTTGCATGCTGAACGTAGGGACTATTATAAATGGATTGAATAAGAAAAAAACTAGGAATGATCCACGTAGTAATCCTCCTACTTGTAATTGTAGGAACAAAAACATCTGTCCATTACAGGGAAAATGTCAGCAAGAATGTGTGGTGTATCAAGTGAAAATTTACAAAAATAGTGAGGATACTAACCCTAAAACATACATAGGTGCTACTCAGGATAAATTTAAAAAAAGATATTATAACCACACAAGTAGTTTTAAAAATGTAAAAATTAAACATAGTACCACGCTATCTACCTATGTATGGAAAACTAAAACAAGATAATATAGACCCCATCCTTAAATGAGAAATATTAAAAAAACTGCCAAAAATATAAAGCAGGCCATAAGTTTTGTAAATTATGTGCAGAGGAGAAATTAGCCATAGCTTTATATGATCAACCTAACCAGCTATTAAACTCCAAAACTGAAATCCTTAACGTATGTAGACATAAAAAATCTTGGCTACTAAATTAGACAGTTTCCTGTTATTGATATTCCACCTTAATGTGCATGTTTTTTTTTTTCTTCCCTCCCCATTTTCGTTGAATAAATACTCCCCCCACCACTTAGGTGTTTTTTTTTGTTTTTTTTTTTGGGGGTCACGTGGTATGATTTTGGCTATCGCCTATAAATATATGTGTTTCTCTTTGCCTCGTTAACTTGACTTTCCCTGACGATCCGTTTAGGCCAAACCTAGGTAGGTTTGTCTGGCTCACTAGGTATATATATATATATATATATATATATAGTGATGCATGTTTCATTAATTAATATAGATAAGTGTTGTCTATTTATTTTATGTAAATTGTTTTCATATAATCTGATAAGCTTAATAACATCATCATTAAACGAAGAAAGAAAATCACAATATTGATACATGTTTTTTAATTCTATCTAAGCTTTCGGCTTACATAAGCCATTATCAAAGATGACAATTACATTACAATATATTAAAGAAAGCGAGTTTGTGGTGTGACCAACATAAATATTATTTAATTCGTTGGAGATAAAATCTTCTAAAGGGCACTTGAATTTGTAAACTGTTGGCTTTTTGCAAATCGCTAACTGAGGGAGAGGATTCATTGCGAATAATTGAGTTGGATATACTAGATTTAGTGTAGTATATGATTAACTTAATTTTTTTGCTAGGATCTGTTGTAGATATATTGGTATTTACTAATTTTTTTTAGTATATTTTAATCTTCTTTATAATTAGTATGCATTTGATTACGATATAGGAGATTAATATGTTTGAGATTAGTAGAAGCAGTATTATGTACTATTTGCTTAGTATTGAGATTTCTAAGAAAACATCTTATATGCTCATCAACTATATAGTTTGGAAAGCTATTATTAATAAGTGTTTGTTTTATATTCTTTAGTTCACTGTAAAAAAAACTGTTTTGTGGATGAATTAGTTTCTGCACAATGTATTAGATTTTTTATAATTGCTATTTTGTAGTAATATGGGCATTCGCTCTTGTAGTTAAAAAATATGGATCAATATTGTGATTTTCTTTCTTCGTTTAATGATGTTATTAAGCTTATCAGACAATATGAAAAGAATTTACATAAAATAAATAGAAAACACTTGTCTATATTATTTAATGAAACATGCATCAATGAAAAAATGCTGCTAAATACACACACAAATATATATATATATATATATATATATATTATTTATATATTATATGCGTGGTACTTATTAGAAAGCACTCAATATCAGAGATAGAGCTAAAATATTTGGTTGGATAATCCAACAGAATATATATATATATATATATATATATATATATATATATATATATATATATATATATATATATATATATCACAGAAAGATACAAACTTTATTTCCTATCTTTTCTTAGATTGATGTAGCTTTTATGATGGCTTTATCAAAATTGGTAATGAAAGAAAGGAATTCGAGGAATTCCAACCAAGTTAGAATTTTCATTGGCTTTTCATTAAGAGCTTCTTTGTGACGTAGCTTCTCTTTTCAACTTTTCTATATATTTTTTCCTCATCTTAATCTATATAATAAACGTGAATGTCAGTGTGTCACACTTTTTCAACTTTACTCCTAGAGGCTGTAGCTCAACATATCATACCATTTTGGAATCAGGCCGACTCCGTGAGTAAATTAAAAATATTTTAGGACAGATTTGGATCTGCAATCCCAAAATTTTGAATTTCCAAGTTTTCATTACAGCAATTATTATTATTTTTTTTTTTTTTTTTTTTTTTTTTTTTACATGATTCTTTTGTATGATAACAATTTTTATATCTTGGAAATAAATTTGGGAATAATCAAAATTAATTGTGAAATCCAGCAAAAGTCACCCATGGAATAAAAATAATTGTTTGTATGAAAAATAAGGACCTACATGCATCACTTTGTCTTTAAGTGGTGATAGAAGAATTATCGTTGAACTTTTAAAAGGTAAGGTTAAATATTAATGCAATACTTAAATGCAGTATTTTTGAGTTCTTCTGTAGTTTATTGTTGCCTATTGCATCTACTCCTCCTTACCTATTGTGATGAAGGCCTAATCAAGAGCTCTCTGCATGGTTTTTGAATTTAGAGTTGTTTTTCTCCATGACTGGTTGTATGTATATTCATTTTTAATATATAATTTATAGTTCTGTTATATTACATTGAGCACTATTTCCTTAACAACAGCATTCAATGTGTGATATTACACATATATATTATTATGGGCACATGGTGGAGAACGTTCACTTTCTGGCCATAAGCTCTGGGTTTGACTCTCACCATTGGTGTTTTGTTAAAATGACTTCTTGATAATATTGGTCTGGGGAGGTGGTGATACCAGCATGTGGCACCTTTGGAAAGTGCCTGAAATCCATACCACGGGTTGATCCAAGCCTTGTGAATGAAAATGGGTAGACAGGACTGTTCAGAAGCCATCAATGGTCGTACTAGTACAAAGTCACAAGTCATTGAGGCTGAGGCTTTGTTCACTTGTTCAAGAAATTGATTATGGCAGATTATAAATTCTCTGCCAGAAACTGTAACAAATGTCTGCTCAGTATAGTTGCAGTATAAACCACAGGCAGATTCTGTGGAATGAACAGGCATCTGTGATAGGGTTTGGTTAGCACCGCCCTGGCAGATGGGGGTGCTTGGGAAACAAGTAGTAGCTGGCCATTATATATGATGTAACACTACAAAACGTGTATACCAATAAAGAATATTTTATTGGCAAATGACTTGTTTTGTGGGTGCTACTAATTAATTATAAGGATGAGCTTTTTTCTAAATTATATTTTAAAATTATCTGATAAACAAAGTATACCATATAAAGTGTGTGTGTGTGTACATTTCCACATTGTATATTTATTAAAAATACAAAAAAAATTAGAAAGTATTACCTACAAAATACAAAGAAATAAATTAAAAAAAAAAATAGACAGAAAAATGTAAGAAAAGAGAAAATATTTTGCTGAAAGTAAAGATCTTGCAGTTTTTAAATAAATGAATATTCTTCAAACTGTTAGAACTTTCTTTCCAAGCAGATACAATGAAATGAGAAAGTTTTACCTATAAGCTTGAGAGAGACTCCAGGTAGCCGCAGCACAATAGATACTGTCTCTTACATTTGCATGTTTACAAATTTTCTCAGGGTCAAATGTACCACATTCTGGATACAATCCAAGTGAAAGACTCTGGTACTGTAAGATTTGGTGTTTGACTATAAAAACAAAAAAAATAATTACTTAATGCTAATACACAGACAAAAAATATTATCTATGTCCATCATTTTATTGATGGCCACTGATAAACTAGCTAGGAAATATTTTAGCTGATGTAAAACTTACCAGGATTTTTGTTTTGCTAAAATCTTTTTTTAATGTAGGTACAAATTTGTTTTATTTATTTCCTTTGTTTGTTTTCTTTAGATATTTTGACATTTAATGATTTAAAAAACATAATAATTCTTTCTTACATACAACAATAGTGTTAATTTTACATTTTATTTTTTAAAACTCCTATGCAATTCCAAATTTACTTAAAAATGGCTGCCATTTTTTACTGTACAAATCAAGTTAGTTTTCTTTGGATATTTTTACTTTAAACTCTAGATTTCAATTATTATATACGTGGAGTCCTGACTCAAATCTTGAAAAATCTGAATATATGTTGTTAGTGAAATTAAATTCATGATCACATTCACAAGTCCCATAATCCATTAGTGTTGTAAGGGTATCACATGTACTGTAGCCATAGTAGCAGTAGTGTGGCTTGGGCAAGATAACCTGACAGGGCACAAATGTTTCCAGGCTGGTTTGAATTCAGAGTTTTCATTCTCCTAAACTGGTTGCCCAGTCTGTCCTTCTATTTACCTATAGCTGGGGGGGTAGAAAAGATGCGTAAGTGAACTTAGCTCTCTCATCTCATTCTGCTCAGTTATTGCTCACCTTGAGTCCAAGTACACGCTGAAGTGGGATGAGAACAATCTATCCCTGTAGATTAAATAAAGGGTTAGGAACAGAATTCTCTGTAGGTTACCTGAATAGAGATACATCTGATGAAGACTGGAATGCACAACATTTTGAGTGTTGTGATAACAAGATGAGGACAATAGCCTGCATGCAAATAATATAATGATAAAACCTCATCCCATAAATTCAGACAGAAACTGATTAGGTGATAATAACAACAAAGATGAGGATAATAGTAGGCATGTAAATAATAACTCCTCATCCCGGAAATTGAGACAGAAACTAAAACTCTTAAATACTGCAAACCCTTGTTGTTTGCCAAGAGCAAAGCATTAGCAATGTGTCATGTCCAACATGTGCAGCAATTCTCCAAAATGACCATCATGTCACTTGAAGGTCTAGAATAGAACCATTCCCAAACAGCTCTAATTGAACAAAAGTAGCACATCTTCATTTCACAGGTATGGCACCTAATACTCTTCCCTTTTTTGCAGCTTGCATTACCCTGTAAACTCAAACACAGACAATGTACTGATATGCATGTCGTTAGGTTACAAAATGACTGAAAACTTTGAAAATTTGTCAGATTACTATCTACGAACTTCCAGAAGTTCAGAGATGTTGTAAGCAGGTTCATTAACGTAGATCAACCAAGTGATTTATATCAAGATAGTGATGCTGGAAGTAGGAACCATGGTGTAGCGGGAAATAGCAAAAGGCTAGGAATGCTGGAAGGTAAGGGTCCGTGGCAGACGAAAAAAAAAAAAAAATATGGGAATGTAACTCAATGTATAACCCGTCCAAGCACACCTGGTCACAACTGCATCTCTCATCCTCCTCCTCTTAATCCCCTGTGCCTTGCACTGGCGGAAAGTTACCAGGTTATATGGAAAGCGAGTGTAAACATTAACTGGTCCTGCAAAGTACTAAAAATCTCAAAAAAAATAAACTGAGATGTGCTAGTATAAAAATGTTCACAGTGTATTTTGACTAGATTTGTAACACTAAAAGAACTAAAAAGTCCTTAAGCTTATCATGAAACTAAATGAACTTAAATTGCAGGGTGTGTAGCAATGCAATGTAAAAGGTCAAGGTCATGAAGACATAATGTCAGCCCTCGGTCATGTGGATGGGGTAGTGAAGGGCTACGATAAGTACTAAAAAAATTACAATATGAACTTCAAAAACGATTGAAGGAAATTTAAATTCTTTTTAAACCATATCAGACAACAAAATCAAATCTAAAAGAATAAGAAACATTACCTGTAAATGAAAAATGTTTGAGGGCTTGTAATTTATCAAACTTTTTAAAAAATAATTTATGAATAACTAATAAATAATGGAAATGTGGAATGGTGCTGATCTTAATACATACTTCCGGCATCATAATTTTATTACGCAAGTGGAAGATAAAAAAATAATTTTAAAAAGCTGGTTAATTTGCAGTATAAGCACCAAAAGTCACCGGTACAGAGGCTGACATAATATTTAGCATTAGCTTTCTTTTAGTGCCTTTTTTCAGTTGAAAACACATTACTAATGGAAATTTTTGCAAAAATCAAATAATTGTCGAATTTTAATGAAACTTTTAGAACTTAATGAATAAATTTATTTTTTTTAGAAATATTTGTTTTTAGAAAGTCATGGTTAAAATATTTTTTTTGTTTTTACATGTTATCCCCCCACCCCACACACACACTCTTAATTTTATGAAAACTTGAAAACTCAAAACTAAGAGTCTGTAATTTTTTAAGAATTTTTTTAAAGAATATAAATCATCGATTCTTTTTATAATGAAAATATCCAAACTTTAGGTCTGAATTGTAAAATACAAAACTCAATAAAACTAAGACATTAATTAATTAAAAAAGCTTTTAATGGGTTTTATGAATAATATATATTAAGAATGTTTCTGTCTGAAGCCAAAATTTTTTTCGATGAAAAATGAATTTTTACATCATTTTCTTTTTTTTTTTTCAATTTTAAATGACAAATGTGAAAAACTTGATAAATGATTTAAATTAAGTTTGAAACTGAGTGACTCTGGAAATTCTCTTATTAAAAAGGTCTATTTTTACAGATCATAAATAAGAAAGCTTACTACAATCTATTACATGAAACTATTTTTAAAATAATTTTTTATAATGCCAAAAAATGTGTTAAAATCAACTCCAACAAAACTATGGAAGCACATTTCTGAAAAAAAAAAATGTTTCGCGTGCTAGAGTTATTTCCCCTGATTGCAAGGAATCATTCATTATTATTATTATACTTTTGTATTGTTTTTTAGCACATGTCAAATTCTCTGAGTGACCATTAACATTGCATTTTCAAAATTTTTCTTAAAGAAACAAAATCTCATTTCATAAATGAGTTACTTGTTTCGTTTATGAAGTGTAATGGTGTTTAATTTTTTATATTATCTCAGTTAGGAAAAAATTTTATAAAGACAATAAATAAAAAAAATCCCATAAAATTTGATAGGCGTACGTAACAATTGTTACTTTTTTTTTTGTCTGTTATAAAATTTGAATTCTAAATGTATTTTTTTTATAGTTTAAATGTTATTTTAATTTCAGAATTCTTCCTCAGGCGTAAGGTAAAAAAAAAAAAAAAATTTTTTTGAAAGTGTATTTTTTTTTTTTATTTAACTCTACTAACTAGGTTCACTTAGCAGAAATTTTGTCACTTCTGTCCTCCTAAAACCAATCACCACGGTTGGACATGTCTCTTAAAAATTTTTTCTGCTAAAAACAGTAAGTAATATTTCTTTCAATTACATTAAATATACTTTAAGTTTTCTAATTTTCCTAAAATAACTTTTGAAAAAAGTATAATTTTACAAGATTTTTAAACAGGGAATTTCACTTTTGTTTACAAACTGTCAATAATGGCTGACGTGATTGATTTTAATAAAAAAAAAAAAATAAAGATTTTAGCTAAAATTTCGGACGTGCTAGAAAGGATTAAAAATTTTTAAAAATACTCAAAAAATACTTTGGTCTTTCCTCTTAAAGACAAACATTGAGACAACAAATTTTAAAAAAAAATAAAGTTTGGAGCTTTTTTTCGTCTGGGTATGCTCTTTTTTAGCGAATTTTTGGACATTCCTACTTTATTGTCTTTAATAAATCTGCTTATAGCTAAATGAAATAGAATCTCATACTAAGAATGAAATTTATGAAGCTTTAGATTCAAGAAACTTTTACGACACATAAAAACATCGTTAAAAAAAAAAACGAAAAAAAAAGTCTTTTTTTTTTTTTACTTTTCAGGCACGTAATTTTTATTTTATTTTTAATTGACGGACTTTACATTATTTCGCGCATTCATTTCAAACTTCGCGCATTGCGCAGTAATCAAGACAAGTGAAGCTTCCGCGCCGCATCACCACTCGAGGCAAACGTATGTAAAGTAATCCAGTAATGGCGGACGTTCTGTGTACGCGACGAGAAAGAAGTCGAACTTACATTGTACATTAACTTCTAAACGAAAATCGAGCGCAATGTTTTAATGTTATTTTCGGAACAACCAGGCAATTTTACACCAGAATGGTACATTCTCAATACTGGGGACTTTTGGTGCTTATACTGCAAATTAACCTATTTTAAAAAAATCTCATGCCTATGTTGAGAATCACAAGTTTAATTTAATTAAATTAATTAACTAACTGATTAACAGGTGGTTGGTGATGTTCTTTCCAGCAAATTTTAAAATCAAATTAATTATGAATTGAAAAGGAGTAAAGATCGAAAGTAGATAGATCCGATCAGGTTTTTTATTTATTTTTTGTGCTTCTTGCGATATAAATTCTCAGACTTTTATTATCAGTCACAAATGTTGAATTAAAAACTTCAGTTCTTATTTAAAATTTACTGAAAAAAAAAAAAAAAAATCGCATCGCATTTAGAAAGTTATTTTTCATTTTATTTCGAATGCAGGATTCATAATGCGAGTTACATTTTTAAAACAAGTTTATCCAAAAGGAAGATATAGTGTTTGGCATGTAAAAGAAAAAAAATCGTTTGAAACGCTAAAATCGACTATACGTAAAATAATGTACGTAGGATAAAAAAGGTAAATCAGTGTTTGGCATTCGTAATTAGTTTTATTTTTAAACACCGAACTTAATAATCTTTCTTCAAAAAAAAAAAGATTAAAAACAAAAAGACATTTTCAGATTCGTCGTAATTTAGCGTGTTTTTTCGATTTAAAAACATGACCGACTGCTGAAGACACGACAGTTATTTCAATACATAACATTTTAAATAAAACATTGGCGCTAAATAATCCTTCTGATCACATTGGAGCCAATGCACTCATTTATTTATAAATTCTGCGATACCCAAAATAACAATAAAAGGTAAAGACAACTTTTTTATCATACACGCCATGCCAAAAGTTATTTGTTGTTAAAAATGTTATTGTTAATTAATGTCCACAACCACTCAATATTTCGTCAACAAGTTATGGTTCTATTTCTATTATAGGGAAATAATTAATAACTATATAACAGACTGTAGCATAAACAAGTATTAATTCATTTTTTTACACTTGTGAACATTTTATAACGAATCTTAACAAAATTTCCTTCACCCTGTAAGTATTTTTTGAGGTCATGACACTGAAAAGAAAAGGTCAAGGTAAAACAAGTGCCAGTTCTTATAACGTGCAAAATTCTTGTCAAGATGTTAGCAAATTTGGAAATAAAATAAAATAGGGAAACAAAAAAATGAAAACAAGAGAAAAGGAATATAACTTACGCCTGAAATAGAATTTATTAAGTTTTTCTACCGTAGCCTCGTAGTTGGAGAGCCGAGTGTCAGCCATTTCTAGATATCTTGAATTTTGAGTACTTTGTTGCCGACTGTCGTAATTTATATTTTCATGCATTTTTTAAAATTCTTAACTTAATATTTATACATTTAATTGATAAATTTGTATAAGACCTAGAGAAAAATTCATATTCTTCAAGTATTTGCTTAATTAAAATATTACGACATTGAAATTTTCTGTTTATATTTTGGCAGACCTATTTATGGCAAATCTATTTTAAAAGTCACATGAAATATGGTAATAAATGGGCATTTTTTTTAGACTACGGGTGGCCAAACATGCTTAAAAATATGTATCATTTTTTTTTAAGGAAATAAAATGAAATTTACTTAGATATATTATATTTTTTATTGATATTTAAAATAGGTTTACGAGAATACGGAAGATATAACTGTAACAATTTCTCTTTAATAAAAATTAGAAATTTCTCTGAATAGTAAAATAAAAAGAGAATCCGTATTTCTAAAAAATGTTGATATTTATATTTAATTGCGTTGAATTTTTTTTTATAAAGGTATTATTTTATAATATAAGCAAAGATAAATTTAAAATTAAAAAGGAAACAAATTAGATATTTATGAAAACCGAGTATTGTTTTATTCGTATGTCCCTTTTGTGCATCCGTCGTATAGAAACGCCCTGTAACTTAAGGATGTGTCATTGTGTTTGATTGGCAATGGCGTAACATTGGTTTGGAGAGTTTTTACGTTACTTACAATTAGTTGTTCGTATTTATTATTTTAGAATAATCTATGAGAAGCTACCAAGTATGAAAATCTTAATGTTACTCGCAATTTTATTTGGTGTGAGTAAATCTCATGCCGATTTTACAGATATTACGTCTATGGTTTTGGATAGCGATGATTTGGGAGCCATCGCAGCATTTGGTGATTTTAATGCTGACAAACATGTTGATATATTTGTTATTACAAACAGAGGTAAGTATCGTATATTTTATAGTTTATGTTATAATCTCTGAGATTGTTATTCTTTTAATATTAGCCTATTTTTGAATAAAATATGCAGTGAAAAAATAAATGTTGGAACTGTTTTCGATTTTTTTTTTATTTCTAGTATTTTAATTTTTTAAAACGAAAATTATGACGAATTTATTTTCTAAAAATAACTTCTTTTTTCTTTTTTTTTTTGGTCAAGAAAGAAGAAAAAAATGAAGATTTATGTTAAATGGCAGTTTTAAAAGCTAAAAAAAATGTTTGTTTTGTTTTCAAAATTGCTTGAGAATTTATTTGAAATAATAATAAAAAAAAACTAACTTTAACATTTTTTTCCAATTTTCTAGATTGTTTCAAAATTGATTTTAAAGAAAAAAAAGCTTAAAAGTTAAAAGCATATTATTTATTATAAAATAAAAACTTTGATTTGTTGAAGTGAAATCATTTGCCCTAAACCGATTTTCTTATTGTTTTTCCCCCACTTTTTGAACGTCATTTTATTACCCCTCACCCCAAAATAAAAAAAAAATTGTCAATGAATTTCATCTTATAATCCCTAAACCTAAACTTAAATTATAAATAATTATTACTCACTTTAAAAATAAATAATATCGTCACCTAACATTCAAAACAAATTTCGCATTCCTAATACTGAATTATGTCCCTTGGATAGCTTCATAAACTTTACTTTCTTATATGACTAAAAAGCCATGATGTTCTTTACTTATTTTTTAACATTTCACCCTAAACAAGCCAATAAAGCCACTAAGACGCAAGGAGGGGGCGTTACCGAATGTGGCAGAATATGAAGAAAAAAAATCATTTTTAAGCAAAGAGAACAATAAAAGGAAAGAATAAAGACAGAAGATAAGGACTGACATTACATTTATTTAAATTTTTGAAAATCAAAGTTTACTGAGAAGTTAGAATCCGGAAAAGAAATCCACAAGCAAGAAATGTGATAGAAAAAACTGTTAGCATAGAACTTATGGTTAATGGTAAAATGATGAGACCTTGACATCAATCTAGTACTGTGCTTGAAATTCATATAGTCTCGGTACCATAGAGGAAAAAAGTTACTCATACTGTAACTATGCTTAGCTGACCTTAGTTATTGTTTCTGGGGGAGATAGTACCCTGATCATCAATTTGAACAAAGCTAGTACACTGAAAGCCTCAGTCTCGATGACTTGTGACTTCATGTTAGCACACCTATGCTTCCGAATAGTTTTTGCCTCCCTAATTTCACTCAGAAGGCATGGTCTGATTTTTCATACACTTCTCAATGGTGTTGCATGCTGGGATTGTCTCCCTGAGCTGATATTATGAAGCAGTCATCTACTTGACAAATCGATCATAGTGAGATTTTGAACTTGGGTCTCATGGTTTGAATGCTAATATTTTAACCACTTGGCTACATGTCCCTTAGCCTAACTTGGTAAACCAAATCTTTATTTTTGATCCAATACCTAAACTTGATAATTATCTCTTCATTTTTAACATGTCTAGACTTGTTATATTGTCATATGTTATTTTTAATTTTGGTGTGAAACTACTTTTATAAAATAAATTCCAAGTAAATGGACCTGGCAAAGAGCAAGTATTAGTGTAATTTTCTTAATTGGAAAAACTTTTTTTTTTTTTTTTTTTTTTGCTAAATAAATTTTTATAAATTATAATTTTTTAAAATTCTTTTATTTTTTTAATCTGAACAACTTTCATTTTTAAAATGACATCAACAAATATGTCACTACATTCTTCTTGGAGATGACATGTTTATGAAAATACTTTCAAATATAATTGCCTAATTTTTTTCCTGTCTCTGTTTTCTAGCTTCTTACTTCCTTGTCAACTATGATTTCAAAAATTTCAATGCTACATCAATCATCTTCTTATATCCTGTTATTTTTATTGTCTTTTCTCCTCAGTAATGTTTTCTCAGTTTCCTTCAATAATCCGAAATATGCTTCAGCTTTAAATAACCCACAAAGGGTTGATAAGCCATAAAAAAAAAAAAAATCTATCAGTTTCTTTCACTCTGAGTAACCCCTTGCATCTTAGTAATTTTATTGCTATGTTTTGGGTAAAATGATTAAATGTTTTAGGTTTTGGTTGGAGTCCATATGACATGGCTTGCAATTTTTGTTTCTAGAGTAGAGGACTGTCAAAAAACAGCTTTGTCTAAGAGTACATTATTAAAATTGTAACTTTTGTTAATGTAAAAAAAAGAAAAAAAAGATGTTTAATAATTTTACAAAGAGCCTTTCAACTGGAAAGAATGCCAGCTTATTTAAGATCTCTGTTTAAATTCACTATTTTCAGGAACAAAAGATCACTGTTGAAATAAAATGGAAAAAAAAAAAATGAAATAATAGATTGAATTTCTATTTTCTCTTTTACATGCCTATATCCTAGTTTGTGGATGCAGTATCCAAGTTTTAATGAAAATTTGTGTTTCAGCTCAAACTATTCCAGACTCTTATGACCATTATTTTAGATATTTAATATCTAACAATTTAAAAAATTTCTAAAACAAAATGATGTGTGGGTTGAGGTAGTGTAACATTTCTAAAAGCAATTAGCTTTGCTGAGTTCAAACTCCAGCCTAGTCTGTCACATTTACTTTTGCACTGATGCCCTTTGATAGAAGAAAGAATCTATTTATTCTCTTCCCAGCTATGGATTAAATAGCAGAGTAGACTGACTTCTCTAGCTTTGGCAAGCAACTGCTTCTAAAGAAAAAAAATTCTGAATTCCAAACTGGAGAATGTAACAGGAAGTCTCTCCACTATCTTTACCAAGAAGGCATGACAATGTACAGATATTAAGAAAAAAAGAAGCTGTGGAGAGCTATAATTACCCATATTCCAAATGGACATAGAATAAAAAAAAAATGACAATGCAATCTAACCTCTACTTTTAATTTGTTGTCAGTGTCTATTTATATATTTGTAGTTTCTGAAAAAAATATCCTATGTAGGTTTGTAAAATATTTGTAATATTGGTAATAATTTTAAGTATGGTATATTTGCTATGCGGAAGTGCAATGGTGCAATGGATAGTGGGTCAGAATGAGAAATTGGGGAGCTAGGTTCAAATTCCGGTTGATCTCCCAGCTATAGGGTTAACTAGCAGGAGAGACTAGGTCATATAGCCTTGGTTGGCAACCAGTCTAGGAGAAGGAAGACTGAATTCAAACCAGCCTGGAGAGGGTTGAGCTTCACCAAGCTATCTTGCCCAATTCACACCACTGCTGCTATAGTTGCAGTATATGTGGGGCCACTGTAACCTACTGTGCATGGCAACCCTTTATCATTGACATGTCTATCAACACACCTATCACTTGTCAACTCACACACCACACTCTGGCTCCAAGCCCTGTCTCTCTTTTCTCTTTTTCCTCTTTGTCATGAGTTGCTAGCTCCTCTAAGTAATACCAACCTTATGGTCATTTGGCTTTTCCTTTCTTGATTGGGGCCAGTATGCTGTCTCGATAGTGTTGATTTAGATATCCTAAAATCTTACAATATTGGGATTGACAGTGAAGTCTGGTGTGAACCCCTTATATACATTGTGTACCATAGACGAGATTGCATAATTTCTCTCAAAGGTTGCTTAAGTCCTGTGGTAAACTTTCATCACTTTTGCCAGGGTGTATGTCAGAATTTAGGCTGGAAAAAGAACTACTTTAAGGTATATACAACACTATTGGTTTATTGAATAAGCAAAAAGTAGTTGTATAAAATGTCTCTATTAGCTATGGCAAATAAAAATACTCTACTGCAGAAGTGGTGATTTGAAGATTCTGATGGCAACCATTAAATTCTTCAGTTATATGTGTGTCTGTATTTTCACACTGATGTGCTCAAGCAATTCCTGGTTGTCCTAAGCCACTGAAATGAGGCTGTGCTCTTCAGGTCTGACGTCTGCTCCATGCTCTTTCGGAAATATGACCAAACAAAAGTGTGCTGGCTATATATATATATATATATATATATATATATATATATATATATATATATATGAGAGAGAGAGAGAGAGAGAAATCTCTTCTGATAACAATAATTGATGATTTCCTTTACCTAAATAGGTGACATAAAATGACAATTCACAATGCCCAATTTCGTTATGTCTGTATTCTCATAAACTGATAATCTGGCTTGTCTCACCCATGCCAGAAATCCAAAATAATGACAGATAAAAATCTCAGACAAATTTTGAAGAAAAACAGTATGTTCTAATCTTAGGCAATTCTTGCTAATTAGTCATATGGTATTTCCCTTGTATATTCAAAGTCTTCCTAATCTTTCTGTAAAGATGATTTTTTTTTTCTTGGGTGGTCAGTAGAACACATTCTATGTAAACTAGATGTTCCCTGGTTCTTTGTCTAAACTAAATTAGATCATTATTTTCTGTGACTACACATATTCTCTTCTGATAAGCATATTGTAAACAACATCTGTTTTCTAGTTTCCCAGGACCCAAGCAATTTGGACAATACATTAACTGTCTCTTTCTTACCAGCAGGAAGTGGGTAGGGTTGGGAAACTTGGTTTTGCTCAATCTTACTGAATCCCATCTAGTTAAATCTGGGTTTGATTCTCCTTGGGACTATTCTTAATTTCATTTTTAATTTTCTTCTCAACTCTCCTGAGAATTTCAGCAATTAATCATCCAATTAGTAAAATCTCTCCAAACTACCATCGTGTAATTTCATGCATTTAAAAGTTTAAATAGAATCAGTGTCCTGTTACATCCCTCTGACTGGTTACGGGACTTGTGAGTGTGATATTTTGCTATAGTAAATTGTCTTTGAATAAGAACATTTTCCTGTTGTTGCAAAGATAGATTATCTTTTGTCATCCTAGTTTAACACTTGAGGATTTTACATTTTTGTTAAACTACTCTCGATTAATCACCATAGAGATCCTTCCCTGCCCCCCATTAGAATGTCTGATAGTCAACTTCTTGAGAGCAACTCCCTGCGTCTGCTCGGTCTCACGTTGACGGCTGACCTGAGATGGAACAAATACATTGAGTCAATTGCTTCGTCCACCGCAAGGAAAATTGGCTCTCTGTGCTGCGTCAGGAAATTTTTCTCCCTGGAATCGATACTTCAAATATACAAATCAACCATTCGCTCTTGCATGGAGTATTGCTGCCATATATGGTCTGGGGCACCTTCTGTTTACCTCGGAGTTCTTGACAAGATCCAGAGACGAATATGTAATATAATTGGCCCTGATCTGGCGTCTCATCTGCAGTCACTCTCTGACAGACGCGCCGTTGCCTCTCTCTGTCTTTTCTACAAATACTTTCATGGTAATTGCTCCGATGAGCTGCTTTCACTGGTTCCCAGACTCCATGAATTCAAGCGCCCTACGAGACTGGCATCCCGCTCCCACCCTTACACTGTAGAAACTTTTAAATGTAGCCGTCTCTTCTACTCCAATAGCTTCATACTTTGCACCTCTCGTCTGTGGAAAACCCTTCCAAATTACTGTTTCCCTGAGAGCTATAATCTCCAACTATACAAATGTAATGTCAATCGACACCTCCAGTTACCTTGATCTACCCACGATCCCTCTCCTCATCCTTACTTCTATCACTCCTATCAGCTCTTGCTCCAGATCTTCTGCAACCCCCTGCATCCTAGTGGCTTCATGCCTTGCTCTCATCATCAGCTCTTTTCTCACTCCTAAAAGAAAAAGTCCTTTCCTTTCCACATTCTCTGTCACAAGTATTTATTTTTCTTAGCAATACTCAACCATGTTGGATCTATGTGACAGACTAGTTCAGTCAGCCCTGTCTTTTGATGTTCATTTAATAACTAAGGGTCCATCTGTTGCCTCAGCAATAAGTTCAGTGTTTGGCTTATCTCTGTCTGGTGTACCAGATGGATTGATTGATTTTGTGTTAGATACCTCTTTTTTATGCTAATGTTTACACTGTACAAAACCCAAGTGCCACTCGAGCTAGAGAATTGAGGTCTGGGTTGAGCTTAAGTATCACTCAGCTCTCAAGTCATGGGTCTCCCTGAGAGAACACCCATTTGTTGTGATTGGTGAAAAATCACAGTCCACTAGATGATGATGGAACATCACTAGTCTTATCCAACTGTTGTATTTTCTTCTTTGTAAAAGTTACAATAGAATATGGAGGACAAATAACATTAAAGAATTTGCTTTTTGTTCTTTACATCTTTTTTCTAATTTCGTAGATATACAATTTGTTTTTTGGCTCCTTTCTCAAACCTATGGACAAATATATTTGTCTCACAGAAAGATACAAACTTTATTTTCTATCTTTTTCTTAGATTGATGTAGCTTTTATGATGGCTTTGTCAAAATTGGTAATGAAAGAAAGGAATTCGAGGAATTCCAACCAAGTTAGAATTTTCATTGGCTTTTCATTAAGAGCTTGTTTGTGACGTAGCTTCTCTTTTCAACTTTTCTATATATTTTTTCCTCATCTTAATCTATATAATAAATGTGAATGTCAGTGTGTCACACTTTTTCAACTTTACTCCTAGAGGCTGTAGCTCAACATATCATACCATTTTGGAATCAGGCCAACTCCGTGAGCAAATTAAAAATATTTTGTGACAGATTTGGACCCGCAATCCTGAAATTTTGAATTCCCAAGTTTTCATTACTTGCAATTGATTTTTTTTTTTTTATATGATAATTTTTATAACTTGGAAATAAATTTGGAAATAATCAAAATTAATTGCGAAATCCAGCGAAATCACTCATAGAATAAAAATAATTGCTTGTATGGAAAGTAAGGACCTACATACATCAATTTGTCTTTGAATTAAGTGGTAACAGAAGAATTATCACTGTACTTTTAAAAGGTAAGCTTAAATATTAATTCAATACTTAAATGCAGTAATTTTGAGTTCTTCTGTAGTTTATTGTTGCCTATCGCATCTATTCCTTTTTACCTATTGTGATGAAGCCCCAGTCAAGAGCTCTCTGCATGGTTTTTGAATTTAGAGTTGTCTTTCTCCTTGACTGGTTGCCATTCAAAGCTGAACAGCCCAGTTTGCTCTACTATTTAACCCATAGCTGAGAGGTGGGGAGAGAAATGGATTCATACCTTTCCTAAGGGTATTTGCGTGTAAGTGAATGTAACAAACTCAACTGGAATTTGAACTCTGCTCTCTAATTTCACATTCTGAGCTACTATTACACCACCTGCACATCCACAAAAATTTGTGAAAGAAAAAAAATACCTTAAAGAATAAAAAATGCATAATATTATATTTTTAAGAATTGAAGTTTAATTTCACAAAAGTTTTTGTATCAACATTTTTATGTCAGTGATCTGTTTTTCTAAAAATATAGAAATGTGCAGAAAGGACATATATCATCTTATGCCCTTTTAGAATTGCACTGATAATAACTGATTCCAATGCCATGAGAGAGCAGAATGGTCCTTATGGATGAGTCCACAAATATTTTCCTCTTTTTTTTTTTTTTTTGGCATTTTTCTTGTGATTGATCATACTAAACATTTATTGCCTTAAACCATGACTTCTTAACTTGGGGTCCATGGATGGGTTTCATGGGGTTTTTTAAGGATCAGATATAAGTTAAGATCTATATTTGCTGTACAGCCTTTGTCTCAATAAACAGTTTTCCATTGAAAGAAATAAAAGAAAATGCACACACTACTTACAATGCCAACTGCTCAGCTTCTCTTGACTTGTTGTTGGGTGCATGTTTGCCATTTAAATGTGTGTCATCATTCTCTGCAAAACTGTCATCTTTTGCACGCCATAAGATTTTCCATGGTTTATCATGGCTTGATTATCTTCTCATATACTGGTGAGGATTAATTGGCCACGATTTCTTTCAAGTCTGGCTGGCTGAAAAGTGATGTGTGTGCAGTGTGGAGAAATGCATGTACAAGTGTTGTGAACAAACCAATCAGACTGTGAGTATCTATGAAGGGCTACTTCTTATAGGGGTCTTTAATTCAAAAAAGTTCAAGAATCACTGCCTTAAACAAACACTTGACAATCTTTGAAACATGCACACTACTAAAAAAAACCTACATTTGACCTGATAAATGTTCCCTGATGAAGCATTTCAAGCGTCTTATAGCAGATTTGCTAAACTTCATGCAAAATTTGATGCAGGCAAATTTGTTAGCTAGTTATACTATTATTAAACAACATTACAAAACCTTGCATAGTAATTGATCTTCAGCATAAAGCCTATTGGCAGACTTAGTAGTTCAGGTACCAATTAACATTAATTGCATGTATATTTCTCTTGAGCAATTCAGGCTTACAGCTATGTCCTGTTGAAACCAATTCCTAGGACGACCATGAGTGTATTGTTTTGGGAAATACTGTAATATTGGATGTGCAGGTGGTGTAATAGATAATAGATTGGAATTGTTACTTGGAGATCTGAGTTCCAATTTCTGTGTGGTTTGTTATATTCACTTATGTCCAAATACCTTTGGGAAGGTTATGAATCTTTTCTTCCCCCTAGCTATGGGTTAATTAATAAAGACTTGTATCAGTAAATCATTGTTATCTAAAAAAATAATTCTTGCAATCTAAAAGTATTTTCTGGCTTTAAATAATCTGCAAAAGGTTGATAAGCTGTAAAAAATGAATGAATTGAATAGTACAGTGCATAGAGCATGGGAATTTTTTTATATTACCTCATATGTCTATAATTTAAGATATCTTCATTTTTTTTCTCATCTGAGATGGCAATTTAATTAGTTTTTGTCAAATTGTTTCAAATAGAATTTTAGTAATGAAGACAGTCTTTGGACTATAAGAATTATGGGAACATCACAGAAATCCTGTCACTTAATTCCTTTTCTTATTAATATATTAAGTTGACGATTTTCTTTACATGTTTTAATTTGTACATTTGCAGAGATCTTTCAATTAAATTCAGGCATATGAGAGAAAACACTGAAAAGTTTTTTGTATGAACAAGAAGACCTCTCAGATCCTATGCGTGTTCATTTTGAGAAATGGGTTGGGACAATAATTTTTCAGCACCTCCTCATGTGTTTTTCTTGAGTATTTTCTTCTTGATGAACTTTGAGTAGACTAAAAGTAACTGCTTGTAATGTTTCATAATATGTTGTACACTTTTTTTTTGTACTTTTCATTACATGGTGTATTTGTTTTGTACTAAATACAAGTGCTGCCTGGAATAGTCCTTATAAAATAAGTTTACTGGTTCAAATAAATGTCAGGGATTTTTAAATAAGTTTAATAAAATAATTGTGCTGGTGGGAGGAAATTATTTGTAAAATAATGACCGTCATGTTGGGGGTGGGGATTGAAAGAAATAATTTAATAGTGTTGGCACTTGTATTTGGTACACATAATTGTATATGCTAATGTGTATGCGAATTGTATATTTTTCTTCATTTCTAGTTAACATTTTTAAACTTGATTCCTATTGCAGGTAAACAAGTCAAATTATTGCTGTCCCATCAGAGTGAAGCTCCATATATTTCTCAGAATTTGATTGGACCCACTGCTGGTAACTTGACGGATACAATAATTACCAATGTTGTGCCTGCAGACTTCAATGGAGATGTCCAAATGGATATACTTTTGTGTCGACAAAAGGCCAATGATAAATCTGCGCCATTTTATGCAGAAATATATTGGGGAAATGGACGCTTTGTTGACCAAGGTGAAATTTATTCTTTTTCTTCCGTTCAGATTATTTTTGTTTGCTTGTCGAGGCTATAAGTGTTGTATCCTTAAAGAAGGTTACAAACAGACAACAGTGGTACTCAAGTGAAAAGAACAGCAACACTGGTGTCGATGAAAGAAGAGAGGTTTATTGTAAAATAGAATACACTACTGAAAGACAGGGAATTGGTTAGCAGGCTAATAATTCCTGAAACAAGTCCGCCAGGTATATCCTGTGCTTATTATATATTACTGATATAGTCAGTCCACAATAGGCGATAGGGACATTACATTACAACACCTCCCCCTGAGCTAATTTTCCCATTAAATTTTGCTCAATACCTCTTCTTTTTGGGGTCTGTTTGACTTTTTTCCTCTTCCTAGTACTTTTCTGTCTCACCAATTACAAATCAGTTTTGCTGTTTAAGAGCTTGCTGATGTAGTGATTGTGAGTTCAACCCCTGAGTTTGGCAGTGTGTTTTTGGATTTGGTGGAAATGGGTGAGCAATAAAACTGGGCAAGCAGTACTAAAAATAAGAACTAGACAAGTTATCCCTAGATGTGGGCAGTGGAACGAGAACAGTTTAGCTCTGTAGATTGAATAAAGGCTTCAGTTCAGAATTCCCTGTAGGTTACCCAGATGGATCTGTAACCTCAAGCCAGAGGAAGTGGCCACTATATAATCAAGTTAGTTTGTTGGCGTGGCTTAGTCTCGAGGATCTTGACCACATTCTGAGGGAGAGAAGGCTTTGATGGTATCGACATGTAGAGCATTCCAGCGGTGCTATCAAATGTGCCCGTGACTTTCAGGTTAAAGGAAAGCGAGTGGCTGGGAGGCCCAAGATGTCATAGAGGGAGCGGAGAGAATGTGATTGCAGAAAGTGGAAGTTCTCTGCAGTCGACCCTCATAACAGATGCAATTGGAGATCTGGAGTGAGAACTGTCATGCATGCAGCTAGCCAGTTACCTGCAAGGGGGCCCACTGATATGGATGATGCTCCCATACTTGCATGATAAACAAAAAACAATTGATAAAGAAAAATAAACATTTGAGGAAGGCCTTTCTTTGTTCTTTTTTTCTTTCTTTTTCCATTCTTTGTTCTTTTTTTCTTTCTTTTTCCATTCTTTGTTCTTTTTTTCTTTCTTTTTCCATTCTTTGTTCTTTTTTTCTTTCTTTTTCCATTCTTTGTTCTTTTTTTCTTTCTTTTTCCATTCTTTGTTCTTTTTTTCTTTCTTTTTCCATTCTTCGTTCTTTTTTTCTTTCTTTTTCCATTCTTCGTTCTTTTTTTCTTTCTTTTTCCATTCTTCGTTCTTTTTTTCTTTCTTTTTCCATTCTTCGTTCTTTTTTTCTTTCTTTTTCCATTCTTCGTTCTTTTTTTCTTTCTTTTTCCATTCTTCGTTCTTTTTTTCTTTCTTTTTCCATTCTTCGTTCTTTTTTTCTTTCTTTTTTTCTTTCACTAATTTTCAGCGATTAGCATTTTTTTGCCTTTATTTAACCCTGACATTTGTGAGAATTGAAAAATATTGATTTTATTTTTTTTAATAATTTATAAGCTGGGTTCAGACTTGACATTTTTAAATAAAAACAAAGTATAGATAACTCTTTAAGAAACCATGGAAAAATTTGAGATTGTATTTATACTATAAACAACCCCTACTTCCTTCTAAAATAGTGTCATGGCTTGAAGAAGGTTTAATAAATGTTAATCTACAAAAATTATTACTCCTAAAATTCTACTGCTTTTTTACAAGTGGACTAGTAAATTAAATTAGTGACCTAATCTCTTAATTGCCAGTTTAAATAAAATCAAATAGGCATCTTCGAACATTTCTTTGAACATGGACATGCAGAAATAGATTAAACTTTGCAAATTTGGGACTTATGGTTTCTCTGTAATATTTATTTTAATACAAATTTGTAAGCAACTTTTGCTGAAGGTTATTGAATCACTTTGTTTCTGATAATTATCATAAGGTTTGTTGTCAATGTTGAGTACTTGTATCATTTTTAATCAATTGGTTCCTCTAATTTTTTTTCAGGCAAGTGTTCTGTGGGTTACTTAAGGACATTGGTGGTATCCACCTTCACCTGGAGTAAGGTCGGGTAGGGGGAAAAGAAGAAGAAGAAGTAGTAGTAGTAATAATAATGATGATGTGTAAAAGCCAATGTTGTTTTCTTGTTTGTTTTTCATGCTAAAGTAAGCAGATTTATAAAATTAAGTGAAGCCTTGCATCCAGTTTGGAGGTATGCAGGCAAGTAAACATGGCTTCAAGCTAACTTTTTTTCTTTGTCTTGGAACTGTCCTGAAAAACAACTTTAATCACTAACTCCTTGAATTTTAAGTTGTTTCAAAATCAAAATGTTTTTTTTTAATTTGTTACCATTAACATTTAGCACTCAGAATCATTTATAAATATTACTTCCCCTTTTACTGTATATGGAATCCCCTCAAAATGTAGTGTTTTATATATTAGTTTAATATAACTGAAATTGCGGTAGCCTGACTCTCAAGATTGTTTTAGGTGTTGCCATAGAAGAATATGACTACACAATCAAGAAATTCAAATTCAACTTGCATTGGCAGGACTAACATTTCACTTGGTGAAAATAGTCACCTACAGTGAGCTAAATGTTTTAATAGTTGTTAGTTACATAAAAAACATTATCACAATGTAAAGGAAAAAAGTTAAAATATTAAAGTTCTAAAATGAATAAAAACAAAATCTGTTAAATTTTACTGTAATTTTTAGAAACAAAAATCACTACTTTATCTTTGCTTGAATATTTATCTTTCGTAATAATTTTTATTCTTAAATAATTTTTGAAAATTGGCTTGACAATTGTTGTTATTTTTCAGACAATCCTACATTGCTGTCAGATCAATTGTTAGACCATCCACTTGTTATGGAGTAAGTCTTCTGTTTTATTTTATTATTCATTTTTCAAAAATTTATTTGAATCAAACTTTGGTTATATTAGAGAAATTTTTAGAGCAATTTTTCAGTTTGGGGTTATTGAATTGGCTGACTTAATACTTGATGTCATTTCTGTATTAGAGTCTTCATTTAAAAGGATACAGTAAAGCCACCATCATCATCATCATTATTATTATTAATAATAATAATGGCTTCATCCTTTCAAAGAAAAAAATTCTAATTGACTATAAACTGTGGGGATGTACAAAATTTTATTTTGGCTTTAAAAAAGGACATTTTGAATGTACATATTTTAATTAGTGCATGACAAAGAATGGGATTTTTTAACACATTATATATGTGCTATATAAATGCCATACTGGCTGCCATAGCGCTCAATTCTTACAAAGAGTGATAAGAAAAGGGAGGAAGTGCAAGGATTAAAAAAAAAAACTTACTGCTCTTTGCTTTTCAGAGCTTGATTGAAGGCAAAACAAATATGTGCACATCAACTTAAAAAAAAAACGGGTATTGATTTGTTTTTTATTTTTACAGCTTATTAGCCTTTTGTCAATCATTTAAAGTCGAAACATATTTTAGCTTATAAGAATAATTCTTTTTTGCCATTTAATATCACATTAATAATTTCTTTTGAGAGTAACCGTGTTAAGAAACAAGTCTTACCATTTAAGGAGAGGTTTCATGCCTTTAGCAAGTGTATTTACATATAAGTGAAGGTAAGAAAACCAACTGGAATTTAAACTAGGCTCTCTGATTTCTAATTCCGAGTTGTTATCCATTACACCACTACTACGTCCAAAACAGAGAGAATGAAAAAAAAAATACTAACAGAATCAGTGATATAAATTGGACATTGATTACATTCGTCTTAGTATTAAATACTAGTCAAAATTACCAATCATTGATAATCTTTTATCTAATGAAGATAAAATTAGTCTTGTGAAGTAATAAAAAATTCGACAAAAACCAAGATGTACAGGTAGTGTAATGGTTAGTGACTAGGGAAGAGAAATTAGTAACCTGAGTTTGAATTCCGTCCGAGTTAGTCATGTCTACTTTTGTTTGAGAATGGTATGAATCCATCTCTTCTCCCCATCAGTTATGGGTTAAATAGCAAATCTGGAGCTATTTTACTTTTGAGGTGGAAACCAGTCTAGAAGGAAGAAGATATTTTCTAATTAAAAACCAGCCTGAAGAGGAATGGGTTCCGTCAAGCTATCTTTCCCGGGACAAACATGGCTCCAATACATATAGTGCCCTGACGATATTCGTGGGTTACGTCCAGTAACATCACGAGTTGTCTAACTTAGAACTGAAATGTCAAAGGAGTTATTTCCCTTTACAGTTGACCCTGTTATATGCGAAAATCAGTCAAATTTAGTTTTTAAAAATTACTGAAGTTTGCTACTATTTTTTGAGTTGACAAAAGCATTATCAATTTCGATTACAGTTTTTTCATAAAATTCCTGAAAATTCTTTTCCTATTAAAAAAAAATTGTTTATATTCAAAGGTGAAACTTTTTTTCTCTTGATTTTACTTTCACTGTTAACTCATTTAAAAAATGATTAAATTAAAAAATTAAAATTTTCTACATAAATTTCTTTTAAATTTAATTAGTACCAGTCATTTGATCATTGCTTGATTTTATTGAATGATCTAAGAAATTCTATGAAAAGGAAATCTTATTTAGTTCCAATCTGAATACTTAAAAGTCGGTACTACCCGAGGTTTAAAAAAAATGAAAAATCTTCCTTTAAGCTTTTATTTTTGTTTTAATTTTAAGCTAATTGATCAAATTTACTATTTCTACTAGTCAAAATACTTTGTATTTCAAAAACTAATTTAAATTGATTGGAAGGATTTTTTTTTTTAAATTTTGAAAGTGCAAAAAATCACTGATTTTCACCATTTTTAGCCATCTGTTAATGTAATTAAAAAAGCTTTAAAAAATTAAAATATACTTTTCTGAAACTTTATTTGAGGAATATTAACTGATTTAAAGTTTAATTAATCTGACTTGAAACAAATATTACTTGTTTTAGTTTAAAATATTATAGAAATGCATTTTTTTAACACAGAGATAGGTGTTTTTATTAGGTGTTGATAACTTGACATCTGGAAATTTAACTAATTTTTTTTCTATGGAGGAAATATCTGTAAAAATTACTTGAATATTATGTGAGTACCTTCTTTATATAATTTTGTAACTCCCCAATAATTTTAAAAATTTAGGTAAATATTCCCTGTAATCTAATCTTTTATTGAATTTAAAGTACTTTGGTTTTAAATTTACTTTAGTTACTATTCCTATTTCCTGATAATCTCATGTATTGATGTTCATATTTACAAAAATCGGCATGTTTAGATACAAAAAATTCCCAAATTATTTTAAAATAGTGGCAGGGGGTCACTGAATTGTAAGCTTTTTCGTTTATGATTATTAAATATAGTTTTTACTTAATAACAATATCGCCTAACCTCTAAAACTTAATACAGAATTTTAAAAGATTTAAAACTTTATAATATAATCAAAATTTTTAAAAAATGAAAACAATTCTTGTAAAAATTCATTATTCATTGAAAAACTTTTTTTTTTCTTAAAACATAATATACCTTATTCTTAAAAGCAATTAAAAGCTTTTCTAATTAATTAATGTCTTAGTTATACACATAATCCTTAGAGAATTAAACTAATATAATCATTTAAGTGCTACAAAAATGAATTTCTTGAAATTTCATAAAATTAAATTAAGTGTGTGTGTATGTGGGGGAAGTAACATATAAAAAAAAATTTTTTGACAAATATTTTCTAAAAAAGAAACATCTCTGAATTAGTTTAATTTGTGAATATGTTCTGAAAGTTTTATTAAAATCTGACAATTATGTGATTTTTGCAAGAATTTCCAAATTAGTGTGTTTTTCACTGCAAAAAGACACTAAAATTTCTCATACTAATTTATGGTCACCTGTTCATGCAAGAAAAACAATTTTTAACCAAATTTTTGCAAGTTCTAACAAAGATAAAAAATATAATTTAATAATGAAAAATTCTTTCCTGATAACAAAGATTTTGATGCTAAAACTTTATTTTTATTAAGTTTAGGGCATTTTTTCATCACGTGCTCATTTTTATTTTTTTTTTTTTTTTGTGAATCTTTGGAGGTGCCTACTTAAAAGTATATATACTACATCGGACCTGTAATAGTTGCTGATATTTCATACACTCATTGTAAAAAGTATTATGGGACAGCAATAGTATCTAATGGAATACAAGTTGTTATTTAAATAGAAAAAATGTTACGCTTGACATATATTCACATTATGTGCAATTGTATGGCTGTTTTCTGATTCCTTGTCATTCTGCTTGGTCCGCTCAACATCTTTTGAGTAACCCCACCCCTGCCATAATTTGTTTGATTATTTAACACCAATAAAAGAATATAATAGTTTTTTTTTTTTTGATTAATTTAAAAGTCTTTTCGTTCATTTTTATTTTAAATTTAAAAAAGAAAACTAATGTTTTTTAATTTATTGAAAAATCTTGAAACCTGTAGGCTGTCTATGGAACGTAGGGGACTGTAGCAGCCTTAAATGAGGTGATGTTGTTTTAGTAGCAAGTCATTGGAGTTTTCTTTTCCCCCTGCCCAACCAGTTGTCCTTTTAAACTGGCTTCCAATCAAAGCTAGAGAATCCCTTCTACCCTACTATTTTATCTATAGCTTGGAAGAAAAGCTATTATGGTAGGTCACTTTATGAGTACTACTGACACCATATAACCCAGTATTAACCTTCTGCAAAATTGAGTCAGTTGTGCCTTAACCCAGTTCCTATACCAGGCTTTTTGGGGTAAGGACAGTGGCTAGGCACTCAGCAAGATTAAAAACAAAACCTGTCAAAGGATGGATGGCCACTTCATGTAGAGGTCAACTGCCATTTAGCACATTAGGGTAGACAGGGTTCCATAGTTACATATGCAGCCAGTATGGTGATGACACTAAATCACTATGCAGAGAGCTTCATAGATTTATGTCAATGGCCAGGGTGGAGGTTCCTCAGATGAAATCAACAGCCTTGTATCCCTGAGCAAAGTTAGCTAGCCTTCAAGTTGGGGGACATTAACTGTGATTTGACCTGGATATGGTTGGGCTTTGCCAATCCATGACACTGCATGAATACCTTTCTGGCTTTGAACCCAGATATATGGAGGGAACTAGAGATGTGCTCAGTTGTACAGTGAGCTTACAACTACACCCAGTTATGAGACTGATGATGTTGGGAGAGAAAAGATGGGTTCCTTTTTTCCCCAAGGCCATTAGTGAATTTGAACTCTGGTTGCTGTTTTCATTTTTTGAGGCAATAAACATTACACCACTTGCACATCCTGTTTATTGAATAGTGAACAGCTTATAATTAAAACTTTCTCTGTAATTTTTTTATTGTTGTCCTATTTAAATAGAATGCTACAGAATATTTGCAAGATTTGCCTTTTTTACTGTTTGATTAAAAGTTTGACTATAAGTGTATCTTCTTGAATCTCTACAACAGTTCAAATGCTGATATGATAGCTGACTTATTTGGTGAAAGCCTGGATGGCAAAAGAAAATTTTGGATCGGCAGGTAAAAATTAATTTTTCTTTCAGTTTTATTTACTTTAAGATATTAAATGTGCATTGGTCTTTGTGTTGAATGTTTATAAAATTTACAATTGAAGTTTATATAGCATTCGTTAGAATCAGTGCTGGTTTTGAAGCATGTTTGCTTTTTTGAGGTTATTAATGTGAAACTAACCAAACTCAGAAAAATTCCACTCACTCTGACAACTAAGATTGTAACAGGAGCGCTTCAAAGAAAGATTTGTTCTCTCATTTGTACTTCCCCTATTATGGGCATTATTATATCTGTGATAAAATAACATTGATATATTGCAGACAGAATGGAATGACTGAAAGGAAAAAGAATGACAAACATACTGTGTTCTGAGAGAGACTTTTATGATACTAAGACGCACACAAAACCATATATACACACACACACATATATATATATATATATATATATATATATATATATATATATATACACACACGTCTCACATGGAGAATAATATATCTGCACAGTAGAGTGTAAGGATAAACAAAAAGGAAGGTATGGTGATACTCCTTGGTCCAGAAAAGCCATTTTCAGATTCAAACAGGCTGGATTCATCTATGTCCCAGGTGAGGACATATTCCATGAATGGAAAACTGTGAGTCTTGGGTTTTCCAAAATTGAGTATTGCAAGCTGGAGTTTCTTTTTATATTGAAGAAGAAAAATTGTCAAAGGGAAATGGCACCATGGACTTGTAAGTTGCTGGGAGAGGCAGATTTAGCCTCAGCCTGGGCCAAAAGGTTCAGGCTAAAAGAAAGCAACCAAATGGGGTGATTACTGTAAATGAATGGAAAATGACTGTTGCTTTCACACTGTATGGAGTGATGTCATTAAGCAGATGTCACATGACCCATGTGGCTTATCTCCACCAAAGGGAGATGATAAGCACCTTGTGTATCCTTACAAGATTATCCATTATTTCATGCCTCTGCTCTCTAACCCTTTACTTGTATCTTCTCATTCTTTCCCTTATCCCTTTAATTCTTTGTTGCTTGTTCAGGTTTTTATTTAAATGTTATACAAACTTGGATTAGTTTCATATGCACAAATATTTTCTATTTACCCTCTCTTTTATCTTTCTTCTGTTCTATCTCCAAAAATTTTACACCTTTCCTTTGCTATATGCCTTTCAGTCTTTTGCTCACTGTCTCTTGATGTCCAACCAGTAAACTTGTCTTTGTCTTCATCTTTTTCCCCATCTATGTGTTTTATTTTTTCCTTTCAATTAGTGTCCCTTTTGCTTTTTTCCTTCCTACCTTTCCATCCTCACTTTCTATCTTCCCACCTTCTCTCTTGCCTTTTCCAATTTGTTCCCACTTAATATTATGCATGTTTCTCTGTCAGAAAATGTATCTGATTGAGAAAGGCTGTGGATCAAATAGATACTTCTCTCTGATCTCGGGTAGAAAATCCTAACATACATATAAGCAGAGTAATAGTATAAATTAGCAGAGCTACCTGACATTGCTCGAGAATTAATTTTGTCTACATAAATACAGACCTTAAGGCGTTGATGCAAAGGTGGGCACAGAAGGGAGAAAGAGGATGACAAGAAAATTGCCATGGTCTGTTTACCACATGTCAACAGCTTATCTGAAAAGATTCAGAAGATCTGCAGTCCATACAACATCAGGACAATATTCAGAATCAGTTCCACACTACAGAGAAATCTCTGCCAAGTAAAGCCTAACAATGAGCAGAACATAACCAAGAATTGCATATACTCACTCCCTTGCAGTTGTTGCAGAGAATATAAAAATGAAACAAGCTATCCCTTAAAAGTAAGGCTGTAGGAGCATCGAAAAGCTGTAGTAAGAGGTAAGACAATGAGATCATGGCCTAGTGGTTAAAAATGTTGGTTTGTGAATTTGGTGACATAGCAGTTGAGCAGTATGTACTTTTACTCATTGGAAATAGGCAAGCAATAACTGAAGAGTAATAACATAAGAACTACACAATATCCTTAGACATGAGCAATAGAATAAGAACAGTCTACTCCTGTACATTAAATAAAGGGTTCAGGTCAGGATTTACCCAGATCAATATACAGAGGGAGGCCAGAGGCATTGTTGGGGCCACCCACCTTCTCATTAGAATGGACTGATCTCTCTACTACTAATAGGACAGTTCTATAGAGTTCTGAGAGATCAGGTGACCATCACACTTCTGTCTCTCTACCGGAAGATACAGTTGGACCTTATACTCTTTCTGATTGTTACTGACTAACCTGCGTTCGTTTGACTACTAATCTCTCTGTTGTAAATACCTTTTCAGATATACCAGTATTTTTCTCTACGTATGTGTTTGTCTTTATTTCAATACACACACGGGGAACCACTCAACATCTCAACAGGCATAATGGTCAAAACATGATAAAAACAACACAATGAGGATGATGGTCTGTATATAAATAGTGTAAATATATTGAGAGATTTTTCTCTGTATCAATAGGAAATGGTCACATGAGGCCATATTTTTTTCTTTTGCACTGCTCCCAATGTGAATACTACTGCTAATAATATGGCAGATACTACTAATAATTCTTATTCACTTGTAATTGTGTCACAAAGACTAACAGAAATTATTTCATTTAGTATTATTAACACCATGACACCAGACAAGTGACAGGAGTAATGTCAACTTGGAAATAATTTCAACTTGATTTAAAATCAAAGTTATCAATTTCTGTAAATTCCTAAACAAAAAGCAATGTGTTGGTGTTAAATTTTTAATTTAGTATTAAAAATCCTTAGTAGATAAGATAATTTGGAATTCATCTTTTTTGCAATTTTCATTCTTTTTTGTTGCAAATGAAGAAAGTGGTACTTTTTTTATTTATTTACTTTTATTCACTTAAATCTGATCCAATAAAAATGCAATGTTCTTTGTAGCAAGAACAGTAGATTGCTTAGCTGTTTTTGCTTTTTTTTGAAAAAAAAAAACACTTGTTCAAAAGAAGCTGTTACTGGTACTTGAATTTGAAGTTGACATAATTGAAGTTGGTTAGCTTAGAAAATTTCAGGTGGGAATCAGAAAATGTCAGGCAGTGGTGAAAAAAGGGTTTGGCGGTCCCTACCAGAAATTAGTTACGAGTTGAAATTAATTCTGCACCCCTCACCTGGGCTTGTGATGTTGGTGATTGGACACTGTAGGACAGTTAATGTGTGGGTTATAGTAGTTAGACTGTTCCATTGGTCATCATCAGGAAAGAAACTCAGAAAAATGTAAGTTGAAGATTTTTGTTTAAGTCTGTTTAAAAATATCCTATGAATTGGTTAACATTTGAAATTAATCTGTTGTTAATGTAATATATATGCTAGAACCCATTCTTTTTTTTCCCCCCAATTCAGCTATGGACTATTCATTCATGGATTTCCATCTAATGTAAAACATTTGGTCTGAAACCAGGAAAAGTTGATTAAACAAAAAAATCTTATTTCATCTTTCATTGTCTGTTATGTTCAACAATACCTGCCTAAAAGAGAACTTGTTGCTTATATATACATTATTCATTCATATATATATATATATATATATATATATATATATATATATATATATATATATATATAGTTTATGAAAAAACTAGGTAATCCGTATGGGTAAACCTAAGGAGGATAAAATCCAGAGAGTTCAATGTAAATCCAGAGCAAATATTTTAAATAAAAAACAGACCACTTTAAGGTTCCATGTAATAAATTATTTCACCACAGCCCTTTTAAAAAGGACTCATGGATCATCAGACTTTGCTACCAAACAAAAATGAAGAGAAAATTTACACATTTTTGACGGGCCAGATTAAAACATATGTAAATTAACGAAGTGAGGAAGTGAGGGGAGAGAGAAGACATGAGTGAGTTAGCAGATATTGTCACATTTAAATGGTTAACTTAACGGAAGTTATATATTGAAATCGAAGGGGTAGAGAAGAAAAAATCCATAGAGAGAAAAAGAGGGAAGGAAGTTAAGAGAGAAGAAGATGTCACTAATTTTCTTTGTTAAAAAAAAAAAAAAAAAAAAGGCTAGAAACAGACGCTGTTATTTTGATTTACTTTGAAAGTGTTATTTTGGGGGTTCATAAAGATTATAATGTTTGATATAAAATTGAATGTCTCTAGATTGTCTACAAATAATTTAATTTGATGTTTGTTAGTGATTTTAAATTTTTTTTTTTTTAAAATTTTGGGGATTTTCTATGAAATAGTCATATATATATATATATATATATATATATATATATATATATATATATATATATATATATATATATATATATATAGTGTGTGTGTGAATGATAGGATAAGGATCAAATAGTAAAAGTTTATAAATCTAACATGTTTCACTTTTATTAAAGCTTCATCAGAAAATGAAATATGGGGGAGAAAGAAAATTGTGCTATTTTTAGTTTTTGTGTTAAGCAGACTTCATGTGCGTCTGTCTTGACATATATATATATATATATATATATATACACACACACTATCATCCATAGACAAACTAGAATTATGATACAAATACACACATGAATGCTGCTTGACAAGACAGATGCACTTGAGGTTTACTTAACCAATGAGAAATGAACAACACAAAAATTAAAAATAGTGGAATTTTTAAAAAAATGCCTACTACATACACATGAGTACGAATATACATTATCATATGAATTCTGCAAAGACAAAAAACTAAAATTCTGATACGCATTCACACAAATGCTGATTGGCAAGACAAATACATGTGAAGTCTGCTGTACCAATGGGAAACAAACAGCACAAAATGAAAAATAGCAGAATTATTTTCTCCTCCCTATTTCATTCTCTGATGAAGTGTTAATAAAACTGTAACATGTTAGATTTATAAATGTTTCATATTTTTTCTTTATTCTGTCAGATTCTAATCCATATTTGATCTTTATTTGATACAAATTCATATGTATTTCATATCTGTATAATGTTTTAAACAAAAACAAAAAAAATTCATTTTCATTTTTTTTTTTTTTTTTTTTTTTTTTTCTCCACTATTTCAGTAAAGACAAAAACTTTACCACGCAATTAATAAAAGGTGAAGATCCTGTTCTACCTCCCCTACGGAAACCCCAGTCCAGTGCCTTTGTTGATGTGAACAGTGACTTTTGTTCAGGCATGTATTTTAGTAAAACTTTATTAATAAGTCAAATTGTTTTGTGATAAGTAACTAATGGCACTTATTTTAATTTATTCTAGCCTCAATGTTGAGCTTCACTTTTGAATTTGTTATTTTAATGCGATAGGAAGAATGAAATAATTTTCTCTTGGGCAATGAAAATCTGTCTGTATATGAACAAGTATTAAATCTGACATGCTTGTATTTTCTTTCCCTTGTTTATCGAATTGTGATCTTTGATTTTCAGATCTGTCTGTTATGTCTGTAAAAGATGGGAGAACACAAATCGAACAATGGTTTTGTGAGGTACGTAACAGTTTTTCTTGGTCAGATGCTTTTAAAGGGACTAGAAGAATCACAGTACTACTCTTTGGGACGTCCAAATAAATAAAATTCTTAAAAATAAATTTTATTTTGCTAGCATCATAGAATTATCACCAAACTTATTTGAACATTTTTTTAAAATTTATTTATTTATTTATTTATTTATTTATTTTTTTTTTTTTTTTTTTTTTTTTAATCGTTTGTTTATAATCTTTTCTTCTCTTTTAATTCTTTACCATTATAATTTGGAGAAGTCATTAATATTGCAGATTTCCTTCAGATATTTGCCGTTTTACCAGGATGGGTTACAGGAACAGCACAACGAAAGAGATGTCCAAACAAATTTTGGAGTATCAGTGACTCCTCTTGAAGTTTGGTTTATTTATCATAGCTTAGGAACAAGGCTGAAAGTATGGGACACCCAGTGAGAATCAAACTCACTAGTCAGTCTTAAGCAGGACATATTTGCTAACCATTGTAACATGCTGAAGTGTCCATCCTCTTAAAGTTACAGACAATAGAATAAATGCACCTGAAGGAAGCTGTAGAATGGATCCATCAAAAAATATTTCAGTAGCAACATTAACAATCCAAAGAAGTACATTTGTCTCAATATAGCTTGAAATATTCTCACTGGTTCTAGAATTAAGTAAAAATAGTAAAATCTGAGTGGGATCTTTGAGGAGTTAGATTTATTTATTTATTATCTTTCAAAAAAATAGATTGTTTCTTCCATTTGTTCAATACCAATCATATTCTTTCCTACTAAATCTCAACACCTTTGTATGGGTGGGAGGCACTGGTTAGCCAGGCTACTAGACTGGTTGATTTAATATTAATTAGTATTGAGTTCAATCCTCACCTGGCAAAAACAAAAAAAAATCAGTATTAAAAGGGTTTACATGTCTGATAAATCAACCAAGCTAGACTATTACTGAACCCCTTACATACTAATTTTGCACTCAATCGGTTCCACTTTTTTTTAAGAATGTGAATCTTTTTATTTATTTTTTTTTCTTTGGCGTTGATCTTCAATTAATAAACTGAAGTAAATTTTATAAATTTATTTAAAAAAAAAAAGAAGCAAAATAATGTATACATAACCTAAATGATTTTTTTTTTTAATTATATATATATATATATATTTCTTCTAATTATAATGTGTGTGTATGTATGTATGTATGTATGTATGTATGTATATATATGTATGTATATATATATATATAAAATTTATTATAATTATGTATGTATGTATATGTATATATATATGTATATATATATATATATATATATAAAATTTATTATAATTATGTGTGTCTGTATATGTATGTAATATATATATATATATATATATATATATATATATATATATATATAGACACGCATAATTATATATAATAAATTTTATATATATATATATTGTTTTTTACATTGCTACACAAAAACTTTCGTGTTTGGAACTGAAAATTGTTCCTATTCATTAGGTGATATTTAGTAACTTATGGTGAAAAAGATTTACTTTTGAAAACATTATGTATTATTGCATTGAGCACTATTTTATTAACACTAGCACTCAATATTTTATATATATATATATATATATATATATATATATATATATATATATAATCTTAATCTTCACAATCTTAACAGTAGGTTATGCATATTTAAATTTTACAACAATCAGTTTTCAATCTGTGTCTTGACTCTTGCCAAGTCCATGAAATTGGGAGTTGTACCAAATGATGAGAATTAAAATGCATATTTATTATTAGTGTGTGTGTGAATATATATATATATATATATATATATATATATATATATATATATATTATACACACACATACACACTACAGCTAAAAAGTTTGAGGCTACCACTTGTAATCTTTTTAAATTGGCCCAAAAAGTAGTTGTTTCATATTTTAAATAAGAGAAAATTAGTATACATTGTTAAAAGTGAGACATGATTTTTTTATTAGTAATTTTATGTTAAAAAGAAAAAAAAATGATTAAATATCCTCAAATTTTTGGCACCTGTTGCAAAAGTTTCTCAAAGTATAAGTTTGATAGTTGATTCCATTCTTTTTTTCAATACTCTAAGAGCTCTTTTTTTTTTTTTTTTTTTTTTTTCTCTGTCAAATTTTTCTGATGCTAATTCTGGGGGTAGCCTCAAACTTTTGAACTGCTGTGTGTGTGTGTGTGTGTGTGTGTATGTATGTATGTATGCATGTGTATATATATATATATATATATATATAACTTGAATGATGTTTTAATTTGAACTCTTTACTTCTATTGTAGCTTTAAATTGGTTTGTTTCTCTTTTAGGATGGTGGGTTTGTCTTGAATCGAACACTTATTGTCCCCGAAAGTGCCCTTGTTATTGGACAGGCTACATTTGTCAATATTGGTAGGCAACTTACATGATCTCTTCAGTTTTCACTTTTATCACTGTACTTTGATTTTCTGCTAAACTATTTGATCACAGTTTTGAAATTTACAGAACATTTTCCTTGTGAATGATTGCAATTTTTATTCTATTTATTTTAAAATTAGTTTGCTTCCTTTGTTGTTATTGAGTGAGATCAGTGTGCCAACAAAGTGACACCGAGGTACGAATATATGAGGCCCACATGAATACACATGAGTGTATACCGGGCACATGCATCACAGCCAAATGCATGCGATATGGTGATGGGTTTTGATAAAAGCAACGTATAACTTTGCAACTGGGCCTAGAAATACTTTCAGGTCGGGTTATCCAGTTTTATTTAAATAGTCTCCAAATGAGGTTGCTCCCAAATATTTACATGTGGCTTCCATCTCACCTTGGCTGCCTCATCCTTCAAATACAAATCTCTCAACCTCGGGCCCTGAGGTTCCTCCACTGTTCCTGCTCATGAACAGAGGTGCACAGTGCATCAACCTGTTAGGTGGACACGCCCAAATGGTTACGGTCAGTCAACTGACGAGCAAATCTCTGGTACCAAACGGGATATTTACTGTAGTCAATCTTAATTCATCAAAAAAAAACATGTACAAATTAACATCTCTAATCAATTAAGATAAGAAGCCATAAGAGCTATGCCTAGTGTGACAACAAGACAATTATTATCAGTATTTTCCCAGATGTGATCTTAATATCTGGCAATTAATGTATGAATAGTCAGCTCCAACCAGCAACATTTGGTATCATGCAGTTTTTCTTTGGCTTTAAGTGTTCATCATTTTCTAGTTTGTTCTTGTAGTTATTGAGTCTTCCTTTTCTGTAATAGTTCCACTAGGCTTTAATATATGAGCACATGGCTGAGTGGTTAGAATGTTGTATTCTCATCATTCCATAACTTTACAAAATTTTGTTTCTCTTTTTGAAGTTGCATCTTTCTTACAACCTGCAGCAACTTTTAAATTAAAAAATAAACTTTAATAAGTACAATATCAATTATTTACAATATGATGAACCTTCTTTCAGTTAGGTTATGAAATCTCTCAAAAAATTGTCAATTTTTCTGTTTAAAACAAATATAAGCTGAAATTAATATATTTATTGTCTAAATCTTGCACATTTATAAATCTACCATTCGTTTGTGTATTGAATACTGTTGCCATATCTGGCCTGTTGCTCCTACTGGGCATCTCTGGATTCTTGATAAAATCCAGAGAAGGGTTTGCAATACAGTCCAGGCATTTGTCTCCAGTCACTTTCTCACTGGCATGACGTGGCATCTGTCTGTCTGTTTTACAAATATTTTCATGGCACGGATGAGCTTTTTTCCCCTGGTGCCCTGACTTCATGAATTTAAGCATGCTGCTAGATTGGCAACTAGGTCTCACCATTCTACTGTTGAACTAGCTAGATGTAATCGCCATTTTAACTCTAACAGTATTTTTCTCGCACTTACCACCTTTGGAAACTCCCTTCCAATTTCTTTTTTCCCTGATGACTACAATCTTCAAAAATTTAAATGCAACATCACTTGCTATCTTCTGTCTTCTTGAACCCTGTTCCTTTTTTATTATTTCCTCAATTATCCCCATTCTCTTTCATTCCCTGTAAACCTCCTGTGTTCTAATCATATTGTTGCCTTGCTTGGGGTGAAACGATTAAAAAAAAAAAAACGTAAGTTTATCCTGAAAATTTGACCAGCATTAGTTGACTTTTACCAATTTTATTGAGAAAATATTAACTTACATTAAAAAAGAAAATATTCGATGGATTTGGTATACTGGTAAAATTACAAGCATTTACTTCCCAAAACTCTGCAGAAAATAAAGATTTATTCAAGATGAGTTTTTTTTTTCTTTTCTTAATCATTTTATGCCAAGCAAGCTGATAAAGCCACTAAGACAGAAGGGGGTTACTGGCAGGGCCAAATTAAAACCCATAGGGGCACTAAGATTTTGGGGCCCCCATACACCTGCAAGTTAAGTATGCTAGCATGGAGTTATGGTAAGTAGTGCAAATAAATAAAGGCTATTAACTGAGAACGTGCATCATGGGAACGCTAGCTGGAAATAAATATAGGATGAACCGAAGGCACATGCAACCATCAAGAGAGGTTGACCATCAGTTCCAACCCAGAACAACACCAACCAAGAAAGAAACAATCACAGCTGTGTAGCCATTGTCAAATGAGCAATGACCAGATTCTAATAGAACTGTGACCAGAAGTCAGCGTCTCATCAACAAACCAACGTATTACAGAATCGCATAAAAATATGGCTAGAATAATGCCAAACGAACATGAAGGTAGTCTACTTCTGTTCACAAAATTGAATCCCATTAAGTTAACTAGTAATACTAACTTATTCAAGAAAGATGTGTTGTATTGAGTAAATACAATCCTCGTTATCTCCCTTAGCTCATTCCCTTATTAACCAATCAGAATGTCAATAAAGATTTGCTGCAGGTCAGTTGTCCCCTCCCCCTTCATAATGGTACCCTGTTGATTCAAATGTTAATCATATTCAACTTATTTCTTTAGATGTGTACAACAACATATCATTACAATTTCTGTGGTGCCCCCCTTCCCTTGATGCCCTAAGCACATGCTTATTTTGCTTAATGGTTAATCCAGCCCTGGTTACTGAGAGTGGAAGAGAATGAGAAGAATTTAGGGAGGAGAAAGGATAATAAAAGAACAGAATTCAGGAAGGCAGAAGATGGCAGTTGATGTTGCATTTAATTTTTTGAAGATTGTAAGTGGCAAGGAAGGAAAAAATCAGAAGAGATTTCTGTGTGCGAGGAAAGAAGCTATTAGAATAGAACTTGGTTACATCTAGCTAGTTCATCAGTAAAAATGGTGAGACCTAGTTGTCAATCTAGGAGTATTCTTAAATTCATGCAGTTGAGGCATCAAGGAGCAAAGCTCATTGGAGCAATAGCCATGAAAATATTTATAGAAAAAACAGAAGGAAGCCACATCATGGTAGTTGAAAAGTGAGTAAAGTAGAGATACCAGGTGAGGACTGCTAACATTACAGATTATTTTTTGGATTTTGTTGAGAATGTACAGCAGGAGCACAAGACTGGATATGGCAACGGTATTCAATGCACGGACGAATGGTAGATTTATAAATGTGAAAGATGGATTCTGATGAGAAAAATTATTTGGTACGCAACAGTGGACCCAACCTTCTTAGTAGCAGACCTAGAAATTGATTCAATAAAATCACTCCACTCTATGACATTGAAAAACATAAGCCCAAGAAGGTGCAAAGAATTGCTCTGTTGGAGGTTGGCATCAGCCATACTGATGGAGGGCAAAAATGGTTCCCTATGATGATTAAAGGATAGCAGTTCCGTTTTGGAGGTGTTAAGATTGACAAGTCATTTCTTGCCCCAATAAATGATTTTTCATCTGATAATAGCAGTATTTAGAAATAATTGTCCTATTACAATTGTGCTTGTCCCTCCCTTTGTTAGTTCGGACGACTGTTATGCCTTGCCAGTACCTCATAAATAATGAACTATTCTGTTTTGATCATATGGAATGAGGGGAAAAGACCCTACTTCGATTCAGTGAGAAAATGAAAGAGATTAAGCTGATAGGAACAAATCCTACACAACCGAAAGACTGAGGAGCTATAATGGCTGATAAGAGCACCATTTTTCAGACACAGTGTTGAACAATGGAGACCCAAGTAAGGTAATCACCAAAAATCCACTAACCATAAATAAAATAATATTGTCTGCTGAATTGTTTTAAAATTACGATTAAGAGGGATGTTTGTAAGATACGGATTTGGTTAATTGTTATAATTATCTTAGAATTTGAATAATTCCTGTTGCTTTAATTTTTTTTTTTTGTGTATTATTGAGTTTCTTATTTTTTTCTTTTTTGTGTAGATGGGGACAATTTTATTGATGTGGTGCTTCCAGTCTGTGAAGACCAACATTGTGCGAAAAGCAAAATTTATGTTTTTTCAAAGGACATGGTAAGAATTGATTCAGAAGTTTTTTTTTTTTTTTGATCAAATAGACTTTTATGTTGATATATTGAAAAAGTGTCATTAAATTGAATTTTGGCAATTAGTTAAAAATAAAACTTAATTAGTCCAACTAAAATGCAGTCTTTCAGAAAATAATTACGGCCAAATAAGTCTGTCATCTGAATTAATGCAATTAAAAATTAATTAGTACCAATAAAATGTAATTTTTAGAAAATAATTTGGAAACGACTTTGGCTTATGGCCACATCATGTTGAAACAGAGGTTCCTGTATGATCTCTAAAGTTAAGCAACATTGAGCCAGGTCACTACTAGATGGATGACTGTTCGGGAATACCAGGTACTGTAAGTTTGAATGTGCGGGTGGTGTAATGAATAGTGGCGCATAATTGGTAATTGGAGAGACGAGTTACAATTCCTGTTGGGTTTGTTATATTCACTTGTGCACAAATACCCTTGGAAAAGATATGAATCCACCTCATCTCTCTCCAGCTATGGGTTAATTAGTAATCACTAAACCATTATTATCTTTTTAAAAAAAAAAAAATTTCTTACAATCGAAAAATATTTTCTGGCTTTAAATAACCTGTAAAGCGTTAAGTTGTAGAAAACAAATCAATCAGTCAATGAAGTACTGATTAGCTACATAGGCATGTCTTTTAGATTTATTTATTTATTCTCTGGAATATAAATATAGAGGAACTATCACGTCCAAAAAGCAAGGTATCAGATTATATATTGACTGTAATATAGAATTGATCCCCCATTTTATATCCTCATTATAATTTCTTGTTTGTCTATCAAATTCTGATTAGGTATGAATCCACTTCTTGTGTAACTAAATCATTATTATCTGCAAAAAAAAAAATTCTTTCAATCTAAAAATATGTTCTGGCTTTAAATAACCTGCAAAGGATTATTGATAAACTGTCAAAAATGAATGAATGAATCATGAAAACAACTTTGGCACTTGAAAATTATCCCATTTCTAAATTAATATCCTTAAAATTAATTAGGGTAAATTAAATGTGATTTTTAGAAAATATTTAGGAGAATAAAAGTTTGCGTTTTGCATAATTAAAATTAGATTATTGAAATTAATAAAATTAAAAATAATTTAATATAAATAAAATACACCTTTAAAAATTAATTACAGGGAATGAAGTTTATTTTACATAATTAGAAATTTAAATTCAGTCAGTTATGTGCTATGTGTGATACACATTTAGATCATGTATCTTTTGATATATGACTGATGAGGCAGATTTTTTTCCTGCAGTAGGTTGCCATTTCTTTCTGCAGTAGACCAGTTGTCATCCAAGGCTATAGAACCTGGTCTGTCCTGCTATTTACCCATAGCTAGAGGGAGAAGAGGATTCATACCTTTCCCAAGAGTTTTAGCACGTAAATGAATGCAATAGATTTGAGTGGAATTTGAACTCGGCTCTCCGATTCCTCAACCCAAGCTGCTATCCATTACTGCACCATAATCAAAAGATGAGTTCAAATGTATATGTTAGAAAATAATTACAGGACTTAGATAATTAATACAATTAAAAATTATTTACACTATTTACAAGCAGACTATTGTACTCATCTCTGTTGCTTTTATCACAACATTTCGGACATTGTGCCCTCCAACCTTCATCAGGTGTATGTTGATTCGAGTAACCTACAGGGAATTCTAAACTGAACTCTTTATTTAATCTACAGAGATAGGCTGTTCTTGTTCCACTGCCCATGTCTAGGGATATCTTTTCTAGTTCTTATTTTTAGTACTGCTCAGTTATTGCTGGCCCTGTTTTCACTGAGTTCAAGTACACACTACCCAGCCCAGGGATTGAACTCAGAATTACTATATTACCAAATTCAAAAACCAATGCTTTAATCCACTAGGCCATTATCCTTATAGATTAAATAAAGTGTGCAGTTGAAAAATCCCCTGCCACTAGATTGGCAGACACTTGAAGAAGGCAGATAACAATGGCTGAAATGTTGTGATAACAACAACAAAGATTTTTTTTTTTTTTATTAGTAACATTTAAAAAAAAAAATTGATTTTTATTCTCTTCATGTTGATGTGTAAATTTTACAAATTTTTTGTTACTTTCTCTGTTTTAAAGTATTTGTCATCTGTTGTGCAATTGTTGGGTTTTGCTCTGCTAGCTTCCTCTTTATGTGGCCATAAAGACTTGTCATGGGAATTAGGTGTTTACTCTCGCACCTGAAATAGATGACTCTATCCAGCTTTTTAAATTTTTTTCTGGATGTGCAGGTGGTGTAATGGATAGTAGTTTGGAATTAGAAATTAGAGAGTCGGGTTTGAATTCCACTCGAGTTTCTTACTTCCGCTTCTGCACAAATTATCTTGGGGAAAGATCAACAACTTCTCCACCCAGCCTTGGTTAGCAGCCAGTCTAGGAGAATGACAACTCTGAATTCAAAACTGTATGCAGCTAAGGAAAGGATCATGGAACTTAAAATGATTTTATGACCCCCCCCCCAAATCCCAACTATGGTCAACTTTCTTTCTCTC